GACCCATAAAAGAAAGAAAATCCCAAAAAGAAAATACTTTCATCATCATTCAACACTGTCACCACACTCACACATTATCACTGTTTTTTCAGAGGTGCTCAGAATACAACAGTTTAGAAGTATACACATATAAAGATACACAACATATCCCTCCAAACTGCCAATATCTGTACAACTTGTTGGTATTATATTCCAGCTTTTCACCACATTGTCCAATTTTGTCTTTGTTTTATTGTTGGAAGTTTATGCTGTAGTATATACAGAATTTATGAGTTTGTCTTTAATTATACAGATAATTCGCACTTACAAAGCTGAAACCTTTGACGATGTAAATGGATTTATGCATTTTTTCCCTGCCGCGCAGGAGATTACAAAATGTAATCTTTAAGTATTAGGATTAGTCTGCCTGAAATGCCCTAGCATGATAGTGGCTTTCTCTGTTCCTAACAAATTGCAATATGTAATCATTGTAACCTTTGCAAAGAAATAAATTTTTTATTTTGTACTGGTGGGTTCAAGTTCAAAATCATATGGGCAAATTATATGTGATGTGGGTAAATAATATACATATACAGTAAATATACATATAAATATACATATAAATATACATATAGAAAGTTTGAAAGTGAACATAGAAAAGAGTAAGGTGATGAGAGTATCAAATGATTTAGATAAAGAAAAATTGGATATCAATTGGGGAGGAGGAGTATGGAAGAAGTGAATGTTTTCAGATACTTGGGAGTTGACGTGTCAGTGATGGATTTAAGAAGGATGAGTTAATCATAGAATTGATGAAGGAAAAAAAGGTGAGTGGTGTGTTAAGGTATATGTGGAGGCAAAAAAATGTTATATATGGAGACAAAGAAGGAATGTAATGAAAGTATAGTAGTACCAACACTCTTATATGGATGTGAAGCTTGGGTGGTAAATGCAGCAGCGAGAGACGGTTGGAGGCAGTGGAGATGTCCTGTCTAAGGGCAATGTGTGGTGTAAATATTATGCAGAAAATTCGGAGTGGGAAATTAGGAGAAGGTGTGGAGTTAATAAAAGTATTAGTCAGAGGGCGAAGAGGGTTTGTTGAGGGGTTTGGTCATTTAGAGAGAATGGATCAAAGTAGAATGACATGGAAAGCATATAAATCTATACGGGAAGAAGGAGGGGTAGGGGTCATCCTCAAAAGGGTTGGAAAGAGGGGGTAAAGGAGATTTTGTGGGCGAGTGGCTTGGACTTTCAGCAAGTGTGCATGAGCGTGTTAGATAGGAGTGAATGGAGACGAATCATACTTGGGACCTGACGATCTGTTGGAGTGTGAGCAGGGTAATATTTAGTGAAGGGATTCAGGGAAACCAGTTATTTTCATATAGTTGGACTTGAGTCCTGGAAATGGGAAGTACAATGCCTGCACTTTAAAGGAGGGGTTTGGGATATTGGCAGTTTGGAGGGATATGTTGTGTATCTTTATATGTACAGTGGACCCCCGGTTAACGATATTTTTTCACTCCAGAAGTATGTTCAGGTGCCAGTACTGACCGAATTTGTTCCCATAAGAAATATTGTGAAGTAGATTAGTCCATTTCAGACCCCCAAACATACACGTACAAACGCACTTACATAAATACACTTACATAATTGTCACATTCGGAGGTAATCGTTATGCGGGGGTCCACTGTATATGCTTCTAAACTGTTGTATTCTGAGCACCTCTGCAAAAACAGCGATAATGTGTGAAAGTGTTGAATGATGGTGAAAGTATTTTCTTTTTGGGGATTTTCTTTCTTTTTGGGTCACCCTGCCTTGGTGGGAGACGGCCGACTTGTTTAAAAAAAAAAATGGGTGTCCCTTCAAAAAGGTCGGTCAGTGATCTCAAACTAACACACTTTATTTCTATCTGCAGTATACAAAATTAGTTTTACATGCAAAAAAATATTGTTAAACAATAGTAATGCCTACAGACCACTTAAAAACTAGACATAAAAACTAGACGTAAATTTAGGCATTAAAAACAGTGCAAACAATGAGACAATTATTTCTTTAAGGTTGAATGATGATTACAAGTAATGAGAATAAGAATGTTGATAGTTATTAACATGTTTGTTGTTGAACAAATTGATTAAGCATATTTAAAACCTTAAACATATTAAATTGGTGCTTTTAAGATAGACTGTTAACACGTACTCTGGCAGTTTGGGAGACATACAAATGATGATCAAATACGAAGTACGTAGCCAGTCCTATGGTCACTATCTTAACCCTTAAACGGTCCAAACGTATATATACGTTTTTTCAACATCTGAAAGTATGTAAAAAAATGTAGATCTTCTTTTTTGTTTTACATTTGAAAACGTATAAAAAAAGCTTTTATCTACATTTTTTTTTATATTTGAAAATATGCAAAACAAAGTAGATCCACTTTTGTAGCATTACCAATTTGAACGTCGATCTGTTTGGACCGTTTAAGGGTTAAATACTATGTACTTCATTGTCCACTTATTGAGAACAACTTTGATTACTTCTGATTAGTTTTGAGATTCTTACCACTCTTGGAGCCCAGCCATAGGCCAGGCTGTTGCTGCTGGAGGCCACTATCGGAGCCTGGCCATAGGCTAGGCTGTTACTGCTGGAGGCCCGTTGCCCCACATATCATCACAGCCTGCTTGATTTGGCACCTGGTGAAGATACTTGTCGACGAATATAGAGATAGACAGTATAATAACCTTTATGACATGTCAAGATATCTTATTAATGAAAAAAGATACCAGATAAATTAAACAAATTTCCTAAATTTTCTTATAACAGATAAGGCAACTGTAGATATAAATCTAGATGTACTCTTGTTAACTTTTTGGGGCCTAGTTCCTAGGCTTTTTGTATATCCATATGCTCTTACACTACCGTCGACAGGATGGATATGGGGTGCACAATAAATTAGCCACTTCAGTGGCAAAATCTAATCGAAAGTCTATTAAGCCACATTATGTGACTTGTTGGATCAAAACCTTGTCCAAAGTTTGCCTCCAAAGTGTTTTGCTGTTTGTGTGTTGCTGATAAATTAGACACATGTGCAACACTTGGTTATCTTTAATGAGGAAATGTTGTGCCACACAGTGGGTTCATCAGTCCATACAAAGGAGAATGGTGAAGAACAGGAGGAGTTTGAGGTAATCAGTCCCTCAGCCTTGAGTCGATGGGGTCGGTCCATCAATCTTGTGTTGTTCCAGCCACAGTATTGCGATTTTTTTTTTATTCTCTGTGTCTTTAAATTTTTTTGCTTGATTGTTACAGTCCCTTCAAGGAAGGGAGGGGGGGAGTACCTTGATGCTGGTGAAGAGCTCTTGATCCAAGGAATTGAAGATACCCTTTCCTTCATTTAATCAGATTTGAGTTGTCTGCCATTACGTCAGTGCTATATGACCCCTACAGGTTTCATGCTTCCCCATGAAGATCTTACCGCATCATACTTTACAGTCTGATGTATACATAATACCTTACAGTATGATATATCACATGTCATACTTTATAGTATGCTGTATCATGTATCACACCTTACAATATATCATGTATCATACTTTACAATATGATGTATACCACTTGTAGTGAATCATTACTTATTCATGGGTAACATTTCTGTGATATTACATTTTATAGTTTATGCAGTCTTCTAGTGTTTTATATACAGTAATACATAGAGTAATAGATAAGTAGACAATAGCAGTTTCCATATATGGACAAGCTATCTTTCTTGATAAAAGTGTTTTTATCAAATTAAAGTTTTTATTTCTTTTATTCAGTACAGTGGAACCTTGACTTGACTTGACTGGCTTACTTACTTGACTGACTGACTTACTGACTTGACTGACCGACTTACTGAATATTATAATGGGGAAGTGCTAAACCCATAGGATTATACAGCACCTGTGAGGGGAAGGGGATGGAAAGTATTCAGGCTTAATTTAGGGAACTGGAGCACAGATACAACTCACTAGATCAAGAGCCCCTCACCAGCATCAAGGAACCTCCCTTGAGGGGGAAAGCTTGCATCCTTAATTTTTGCTCGTATCCAGAAACCAAAAATCGACCGAGCAACTGCTCGTATCCTGAAAAACTCGTATGGTGGGGCACTTGTAAGCCGAGGTTCCGCTGTACATGGATAATGTAGTTTACATGTAATAAAACATTGTTAGGCACAAAAGAAAGTGTTAGATAAAAGGACACACGTCAACTAATGTGACATTTATTGCGGCAACATTTCGCACTCCAGCAGCTTTATCAAGCCATTACAAACAATACATGGACACAGAGGGTATATATAGGCTTCGAGTGAGGTGTAATACTAGTAAGCCTATATACAGTGGACCCCCGGTTAACGAACTTTTTTCATTCCAGTAGTATGTTCAGGTGCCAGTACTGACCGAATTTTTTCCCATAAGGAATATTGTGAAGTAGATTAGTCAATTTCAGACCCCCAAACATACACGTACAAACGCACTTACATAAATACACTTACATAATTGGTCACATTTGGAGGTGATCTTTATGCGGGGGTCCACTGTATACACCTCACTCTAAGCCTATATATACGCCTCACTCTAAGCCTGTATATACACCTCACTCTAAGCCTATATATACACCTCACTCTAAGCCTATATATACACCTCACTCTAAGCCTATATATACACCTCACTCTAAGCCTATATATACACCTCACTCTAAGCCTATATGTATATACCCTCTGTGTTCACGCATTGTTTGTAACGACTTGATAAAGCTCCTGGAGACTGAAACATTGCCACAATAAAATATCACATTAGTTGCACTGGTGTCCTTTTATCTAAAATATTGTCGGTAATTCTACCAACATTAATATAAAAGAAAGTCACTAGTGTGCAATACATTTCATGCAGACTAATCCTTATACAGTACTTAAAAATTAGACATAAATTATTAAGTAGGTTTCTCACAGTGTTTGGATATTTCTCAGTACTGTATTGTTGGTTTTCAAGGCACCAGCTACAGGGAGATGAGGTGGTGTGGGTGCCAGGCTGCGATCATGCAGGCATCGCCACTCAGGCTGTTGTTGAACGCTACCTGTGGGCCACGCAGGGTGTCACCAAACACCAGCTGGGCAGAGAGAGGTGAGATGATGTGGCTTAAGTGCTCTCTCCAGGAGTTTTGTTGTTTAAATCGGTTCTTTAAAGACAATAATTATAATCATAACTAAACTCAGTAGGGTCATACCAGTGCTGTCTTCAAAGACAAAAGTCACGTGAATGATTTTTTAACACATTCACTATTACTCATTCTGTCTTTCCAGAGAAACATGTACATCGCATTTAATAATTCACTAAACCTCTCGCCAATACTTCAGAATGTGGGCACTGTGCTACCCACCTGAACTCAAGTCTGGTAAACCAGCTTTCCTGAATCCCTCCATAAATATTGCATTGCTCACACTCCAACAGCACATAAATCCCACAATCTGTTTGTCTCCACTGATCTAAAAAACACATATGCCAGGTGGATGATCAGTCACGTAACTCTCAAAACCTCCTTCACCCTCTTCTTCTAACTCTTCTTGGAAGGCTCTCTGCCTCTCTTGTTAGAAATGCAGTAGTATTGTATTATGTACATACAATAAACCCTTCATTTAATAGATTGATGGGGAAGCAGGTAATGGCGAGTGTGATGGTTACAGATGAGACTGCTTTGCTGTGATCATGACAATGATGGACAATTCTCTTACCAGTGAACCTTGTTATTTTCAAATCATTTGACCAGATTCTGTCTCATATTTCTGAAGCCAGATAAATCGAGGTTTGTTAAATTAGGGTTTACTGCATGCTTTTAGCAGATCAGTCCTTCGCTAGATAACGTTTTGCCCAAAGGTGAGCTTTATCAAGTCATTTTTGAGATGCATGTTGTCTTAACTTCTATAACTTCTCAAGGGAGATTCCTTGATGCTGTAAGGAGCTCTTGATCCAAGGAATTAAACCTGCCCTTCCTTACTTTGGGTCATACCTGATTGTCTCCCATTCACAAAGGTGCTATGTGACTCCTACAGGTTTAGAACATCCCCTAAATATAATAATAATACAATAATGTGTATATTGCCTCACCCATCACCTGTCATCGTGATGCCTTGAAGTCAACCATTACAGGAGGTTCAGAACTTTCAATTGAATTACAGTCTTTGTGTATCTGCAACAAGTTGTTTGTATAGACAACAATACCACAAAGGATTTTTTTTTTTTTCAACAGACCGGCCGTATCCCACCAAGGCAGGGTGGCCCAAAAAGAAAAACGAAAGTTTTTCTTTTTAAATAAAGGATGGATATGTTATATATTTAATTCTTGTTAAGTGCAAGATGTAGTGGAGACTTGATCATCAGTTTGCTGGGCCTGAGACAGATGTGCTTCCTGCCCGAAATGCCCCTGCATGATAGTGGCTTTCTTTGTAATTAGCAAACCAAAATTGTAATTGCACATTGTAACCTTTACAAAGAGATAAAATCTTTATTCTATTCTTATCTTTATTTGTACTAACCTACATGTCATTGCTTATGGTGTAAAACTTAAATTAGCTCATGAATGCTCAAGCTTGTAGGTGTGGATATGACTGCCTGTTTGTAGTTACAGGAGCATAGCTATGCTTGTGGTGTCTTGTCTTCAGTACAGTGGACCCCCGGTTAACGATATTTTTTCACTCCAGAAGTATGTTCAGGTGCCAGTACTGACCGAATTTGTTCCCATAAGAAATATTGTGAAGTAGATTAGTCCATTTCAGACCCCCAAACATATACGTACAAACACACATAAATACACTTACATAATTGGTCACATTCGGAGGTAATCGTTATGCGGGGGTCCACTGTACTTGGTTCATCATGTAATACAGTGGACCCCCGGTTTACGATCAGCTCCCAGTGCGACCAATTATGTAAGTGTATTTATGTAAGTGCGTTTGTATGTGTATGTTTGGGGGTCTGAAATGGACTAATCTAATTCACAATATTCCTTATGGGAACAAATTCGGTCAGTACTGGCACCTGAACATACTTATGGAATGAAATACAGTGGACCCCCGCATAACGATGGCATCACATAGCGATTAATCCGCATATCGCTTGCTTTAATCGCAAAAATTTTGCCGCGCATACCGATTAAAAACCCGCTCACCGATTTTCGTCCGAGACGCGTCCAATGTGCGCCCTCAGCCAGCCTCACATGTGCCGCCCGTGCCATTGTTTACCAGCCAGCCTCCGCGGTAACATCCAAGCATACAATCGGAATATTTCGTATTATTACAGTGTTTTCGGTGCTGTTTCTGGAAAATAAGTGACCATGGGCCCCAAGAAAGCTTCTAGTGCCAACCGTACACCAATAAGGGTGAGAATTCCAATAGAAATGAAGAAAGAGATCATTGATAAGTATGAAAGTGGAGTGCGTATCGCCGACCTGGTCAGGTTGTACAAGAAACCCCAATCAACCATCGCTACTATTGTGGGCACCAGAAAGGCAATCAAGGAAGCTGTTCTTGCCAAAGGTTTAACTGTGTTTTCGAAACAAAGATCGCAAGTGATGGAAGATGTTGAGAGACTCTTATTGGTGTGGATAAATGAAAAACAGCTAGCAGGAGATAGCGTCTCTCAAGCGATCATATGTGAAAAGGCTAGGAAGTTGCATGAGGATTTAATTAAAAAAATGCCTGCAACTAGTGATGATGTGAGTGAATTTAAGGCCAGCAAAGGTTGGTTTGAGAGATTTAAGAAGCGTAGTGGCATACATAGTGTGATAAGGCATGGTGAGGCTGCCAGTTCGGACCACAAAGCGGCTGAAAAATATGTGCAGGAATTCAAGGAGTACATAGACAGTGAAGGACTGAAACCTGAACAAGTGTTTAACCCTTTGAGGGTTTTCATCGTACTAGTACGTCTTACGCGTAGGGGTTTTTGACGTACTAGTACTCATAAATTCTAGCGACCTCAAATCTAGTGGGAGAAAGCTGGTAGGCCTTCATATGAAAGAATGGGTCTATGTGGTCAGTGTGCACAGTCTAAAAAAAATCCTGCAGCACACGGTGCATAATGAGAAAAAAAAAACTTTTTCCATTTTTTTTTAATAAATCAGCGACTTTGCAGTGTATTTTCGTATAGTATTTATTGTTGTATTCTAGTTTTCTTGGTCTCATTTTATAGAATGGAAGACATATTACTGAAATTGAGATGATTTTGACTGGTTTTACAATGAAAGGTGCCTTGAAATTGAGCTCAAAGTAGCAGAAATGTTCGATTTTTACCAAACTTCAAAAGTAAACAAATCGTGCCAAGCGTGCAATACACGTCAACTGGTGAGTCTAATATTCTTTCACAAGTGCACCAATAATATTTATACCATTTTTTACACTAATGCAGTAGTCTGCATAACAGTAAATCTTATATTTTTTGTGAGAATAAAAATTCAAAGTGGAAAGCAAAAGAATATAAGAGGGGCCTTGAGACGTGACTAATGACTAGAGGAAATGTCATTTTAGTGCCAGGAATGTCTTTCTTGTTTATTCTGGACCCTATTCCGAAATTGGCATCTTTTGAAATTTGTGTGAAATTGGCAAAATTGCTAAATTCTGACCACTGTACTGGATAGTTGAATTTATAAATGGGTGGTTTCTTGCACCCATTCGATAGAAAAAATGGAGTTCTAGCGAAATATTCATGTTTTTTGTCGACTAGTACAGTGAAATTGGCCGAAAATGGGGCTCAAAGTGGGCAAAATCGCCGATCCGTAAACATCGCCGAGACCGCTAACTTTGCGAGAGCATAATTCCGTAAGTTTTCTATCAAATTTCAAACTTTTGGTGTCGTTATGATCGGGAAAAGATTCTCTATCTTTTCATAAGAGAAAATAATTTTTTTTTTTTTTTTAAATTTGGCCGACCCTGAGAACGAGTTTTGGAGAGGGCCTGTCGACCCTCAAAGGGTTAATTGTGATGAAACAGGCCTGTTTTGGAAGAAAATGCCAAGCAGGACCTACATTACTCAGGAGGAAAAGGCACTCCCAGGACATAAGCCTATGAAAGACAGGCTTACTTTGTTGATGTGTGCCAATGCTAGTGGTGATTGCAAAGTTAAGCCTTTATTAGTGTATCACTCTGAAACTCCCAGAGCGTTCAGGCAAAAGAATGTCCTCAAGGATAATTTGTGTGTGCTGTGGAGGGCAAACAGTAAGGCATGGGTCACTAGGGACTTTTTCTATAACTGGTTACACCATGCATTTGCCCCCAATGTGAAAGATTACCTAACTGAAAAGAAATTAGAACTTAAGTGCCTCCTGGTGTTAGACAATGCCCCTGGTCATCCTACAGACGTGGCAGAGCGACTTTATGGGGACATGAGCTTCATTAAGGTGAAGTTTTTGCCTCCTAATACCACTCCTCTCCTGCAGCCCATGGACCAGCAGGTTATTGCAAACTTCAAAAAACTGTACACAAAAGCTCTGTTTGAAAGGTGCTTTGTAGTGACCTCAGAAACTCAACTGACTCTAAGAGAGTTTTGGAGAGAGCACTTTAATATCCTCAATTGTGTAAACCTTATAGGTAAGGCTTGGGAGGGAGTGACTAAGAAGACCTTGAACTCTGCTTGGAAGAAACTGTGGCCAGAATGTGTAGACAAAAGGGATTTTGAAGGGTTTGAGGCTAACCCTGAGAGGATTATGCCACTTGAGGAATCCATTGTGGCATTGGGAAAGTCCTTGGGGTTGGAGGTTAGTGGGGAGGATGTGGAAGAGTTGGTGGAGGAGGACAATGAAGAACTAACCACTGATGAGCTGATAGATCAACTTCAAGAGCAAGAGGCCAGACCTGAGGAAACTGGTTCAGAGGAGGGGAGAGAGAAATTGAAGAAGTTGCCTACTTCAAAGATTAAAGAAATCTGTGCAAAGTGGCTTGAAGTGCAAACCTTCATGGATGAAAATCACCCTCAGACAGCTATTGCAAGCCGTGTTGGCAACCTGTACACTGACAATGTTGTGAAACACTTTAGGGAAGTCATAAAGGAACGAGAGGTACAGGCCACTATGGACAGATATGTTGTGCGAAAGAAGTCCAGTGACTCTGAAGCTGGTCCTAGTGGCATTAAAAGAAGAAGGGAAGTAACCCCAGAAAAGGACTTGACACCTCAAGTCTTAATGGAAGGGGATTCCCCTTCTTAACACTAACACTCTCTCTCCCCTCCTCCCATCCCATCAATCATCACCAGATCTTCAATAAAAGTAAGTGTCATGTAAGTGTGCATGCCTTTTTCAGTTTGTGTGTATTAAAATTAACATTTCATGTGGTAAAAATTTTTTTTTTTCATACTTTTGGGTGTCTTGCACGGATTAATTTTATTTCCATTATTTCTTATGGGGAAAATTCATTCACATACCGATTATTTCGCATAACAATTACCCCTCTTGCACGGATTAAAATCGTTATGCGGGGGTCCACTGTAATATCGTAAACTGGGGGTCCACTGTATATTTAACTTAGGGTGTTTGTAAGTTTGGAAATCTTTTGACCATACTTGGTATGAGTATCAGTGGATCTTATGCAGAGTAATATTCTATAATTTTTTTTTTTTTTAACAAACTGGCCATCTCCCTCCAAGGTAGGGTGTCTCAAAAAACAAGAAATAAATGTTTTTCTTCTTTGTGCATGTAGTAATTTACACAGGACAAGGGGTTACTCTAGCCCGTTGCTTCCGTCATTTTACAACATGCATGGCTTATGGAGGAAGGGTTCTTCTCCACCTTCTCATGGAAAACCATATTATACTTCCCTCAGTTTTTTCAGATTAGCATATCTGAGGTAATTGCTTTTTCTCTGTTTTTTTTTTTTTTTTTTTAGATTTGTTAACGAAGTGTGGAAATGGAAAGAGGAGAAGGGAACTGTGATACTTGACCAACTCAAACGACTAGGCGCTTCCCTTGATTGGGACAAATTTGTGTTTACTATGGACAAAGTAAGTCGCAATGCAATAAAATAAAATTTTTAAAAAGTTTCACTTGACTGTAGGGTTTGATGTCAGTTTTGAGAACAATTAATTCTGGAATGTGTGTCCAGGAAGTCCTCACTTAACATCATTTTGTTCAAAGTCATTTCACTATAACGTTGATGAGATAAAGGAATCAGTTCCCAGCCAGGAATGAAAAATATGGAGATACTTGAATATCTGGATGGAGGACATGCATTGGCATAACTCTCCATGTTTGCCTATGTCAATTTCCTCCCTTGTGGATGTTTGTGTTCAGTTTTTATGATATGTAGCGTGTTTCTTTTATAATTCTGAAAAACATGTGATAACTAAAATAATAATGTTAATAATAGAATAAATATATGACATTATTGCACCCCAGAAAGACATACTTCATTATAGAATAATAAGAAAATATTATAACCTTTATATTATAATAATAAGGTAAAAGGACCCCAATGGAAATAAGTCACTCTGTCTGACTTTTTTGGGTTATCCCAGGTTCTCTACACATATGCTGCTATGTATGATAATTCTATGTAACTGTATTGTGTATACCTGAATAAATTTACTTACTTACTTACTTACTTACTTACTTCCTTGTCATGGTGTCTGCAGCACTACTGCCCTCCCTCACAACTCTCCCTTGTGAAAGACATACTTCCTTGTCATGGTGTCTGCAGCACTACTGCTCTCCCTCACAACTCTCCCTTGTGAAAGACATACTGCCTTGTCATGGTGTCTGCAGCACTACTGCCCTCCCTCACAACTCTCCCTTGTGAAAGACATACTCCCTTGTCATGGTGTCTGCAGCACTACTGCCCTCCCTCACAACTCTCCCTTGTGAAAGACATACTTCCTTGTCATGCTGTCTGCAGCACTACTGCCCTCCCTCACAACTCTCCCTTGTGAAAGACATACTCCCTTGTCATGGTGTCTGCAGCACTACTGCCCTCCCTCACAACTCTCCCTTGTGAAAGACATACTCCCTTGTCATGGTGTCTGCAGCACTACTGCCCTCCCTCACAACTCTCCCTTGTGAAAGACATACTCCCTTGTCATGGTGTCTGCAGCACTACTGCTCTCCCTCACAACTCTCCCTTGTGAAAGACATACTTCCTTGTCATGCTGTCTGCAGCACTACTGCCCTCCCTCACAACTCTCCCTTGTGAAAGACATACTCCCTTGTCATGGTGTCTGCAGCACTACTGCCCTCCCTCACAACTCTCCCTTGTGAAAGACATACTCCCTTGTCATGGTGTCTGCAGCACTACTGCCCTCCCTCACAACTCTCCCTTGTGAAAGACATACTCCCTTGTCATGGTGTCTGCAGCACTACTGCCCTCCCTCACAACTCTCCCTTGTGAAAGACATACTTCCTTGTCATGGTGTCTGCAGCACTACTGCCCTCCCTCACAACTCTCCCTTGTGAAAGACATACTCCCTTGTCATGGTGTCTGCAGCACTACTGCCCTCCCTCACAACTCTCCCTTGTGAAAGACATACTCCCTTGTCATGGTGTCTGCAGCACTACTGCCCTCCCTCACAACTCTCCCTTGTGAAAGACATACTCCCTTGTCATGGTGTCTGCAGCACTACTGCCCTCCCTCACAACTCTCCCTTGTGAAAGACATACTTCCTTGTCATGGTGTCTGCAGCACTACTGCCCTCCCTCACAACTCTCCCTTGTGAAAGACATACTCCCTTGTCATGGTGTCTGCAGCACTACTGCCCTCCCTCACAACTCTCCCTTGTGAAAGACATACTCCCTTGTCATGGTGTCTGCAGCACTACTGCCCTCCCTCACAACTCTCCCTTGTGAAAGACATACTCCCTTGTCATGGTGTCTGCAGCACTACTGCCCTCCCTCACAACTCTCCCTTGTGAAAGACATACTTCCTTGTCATGGTGTCTGCAGCACTACTGCCCTCCCTCACAACTCTCCCTTGTGAAAGACATACTCCCTTGTCATGGTGTCTGCAGCACTACTGCCCTCCCTCACAACTCTCCCTTGTGAAAGACATACTCCCTTGTCATGGTGTCTGCAGCACTACTGCCCTCCCTCACAACTCTCCCTTGTGAAAGACATACTCCCTTGTCATGGTGTCTGCAGCACTACTGCCCTCCCTCACAACTCTCCCTTGTGAAAGACATACTGCCTTGTCATGGTGTCTGCAGCACTACTGCCCTCCCTCACAACTCTCCCTTGTGAAAGACATACTGCCTTGTCATGGTGTCTGCAGCACTACTGCCCTCCCTCACAACTCTCCCTTGTGAAAGACATACTTCCTTGTCATGGTGTCTGCAGCACTACTGCCCTCCCTCACAACTCTCCCTTGTGAAAGACATACTGCCTTGTCATGGTGTCTGCAGCACTACTGCCCTCCCTCACAACTCTCCCTTGTGAAAGACATACTTCCTTGTCATGGTGTCTGCAGCACTACTGCCCTCCCTCACAACTCTCCCTTGTGAAAGACATACTGCCTTGTCATGGTGTCTGCAGCACTACTGCCCTCCCTCACAACTCTCCCTTGTGAAAGACATACTTCCTTGTCATGGTGTCTGCAGCACTACTGCCCTCCCTCACAACTCTCCCTTGTGAAAGACATACTCCCTTGTCATGGTGTCTGCAGCACTACTGCCCTCCTTCACAACTCTCCCTTGTGAAAGACATACTTCCTTGTCATGGTGTCTGCAGCACTACTGCCCTCCCTCACAACTCTCCCTTGTGAAAGACATACTCCCTTGTCATGGTGTCTGCAGCACTACTGCCCTCCCTCACAACTCTCCCTTGCAAAAGACATACTCCCTTGTCATGGTGTCTGCAGCACTACTGCCCTCCCTCACAACTCTCCCTTGTGAAAGACATACTCCCTTGTCATGGTGTCTGCAGCACTACTGCCCTCCCTCACAACTCTCCCTTGTGAAAGACATACTTCCTTGTCATGGTGTCTGCAGCACTACTGCCCTCCCTCACAACTCTCCCTTGTGAAAGACATACTCCCTTGTCATGGTGTCTGCAGCACTACTGCCCTCCCTCACAACTCTCCCTTGCAAAAGACATACTCCCTTGTCATGGTGTCTGCAGCACTACTGCCCTCCCTCACAACTCTCCCTTGTGAAAGACATACTCCCTTGTCATGGTGTCTGCAGCACTACTGCCCTCCCTCACAACTCTCCCTTGTGAAAGACATACTCCCTTGTCATGGTGTCTGCAGCACTACTGCTCTCCCTCACAACTCTCCCTTGCAAAAGACATACTTCCTTGTCATGGTGTCTGCAGCACTACTGCCCTCCCTCACAACTCTCCCTTGTGAAAGACATACTCCCTTGTCATGGTGTCTGCAGCACTACTGCTCTCCCTCACAACTCTCCCTTGCAAAAGACATACTCCCTTGTCATGGTGTCTGCAGCACTACTGCCCTCCCTCACAGCTCTCCCTTGCAAAAGACATACTCCCTTGTCATGGTGTCTGCAGCACTACTGCCCTCCCTCACAACTCTCCCTTGCAAAAGACATACTCCCTTGTCATGGTGTCTGCAGCACTACTGCCCTCCCTCACAACTCTCCCTTGTGAAAGACATACTCCCTTGTCATGGTGTCTGCAGCACTACTGCCCTCCCTCACAACTCTCCCTTGCAAAAGACATACTCCCTTGTCATGGTGTCTGCAGCACTACTGCCCTCCCTCACAACTCTCCCTTGCAAAAGACATACTCCCTTGTCATGGTGTCTGCAGCACTACTGCCCTCCCTCACACCTCTCCCTTGAAAAAGACATACTCCCTTGTCATGGTGTCTGCAGCACTACTGCTCTCCCTCACAACTCTCCCTTGTGAAAGACATACTCCCTTGTCATGGTGTCTGCAGCACTACTGCCCTCCCTCACAACTCTCCCTTGTGAAAGACATACTCCCTTGTCATGGTGTCTGCAGCACTACTGCCCTCCCTCACAACTCTCCCTTGCAAAACACATACTCCCTTGTCATGGTGTCTGCAGCACTACTGCCCTCCCTCACAACTCTCCCTTGCAAAACACATACTCCCTTGTTATGGTGTCTGCAGCACTACTGCCCTCCCTCACAACTCTCCCTTGCAAAACACATACTCCCTTGTCATGGTGTCTGCAGCACTACTGCCCTCCCTCACAACTCCCCCTTGAAAAAGACATACTCCCTTGTCATGGTGTCTGCAGCACTACTGCCCTCCCTCACAACTCTCCCTTGCAAAACACATACTCCCTTGTCATGGTGTCTGCAGCACTACTGCCCTCCCTCACAACTCTCCCTTGCAAAACACATACTCCCTTGTCATGGTGTCTGCAGCACTACTGCCCTCCCTCACAACTCTCCCTTGCAAAACACATACTCCCTTGTCATGGTGTCTGCAGCACTACTGCCCTCCCTCACAACTCCCCCTTGAAAAAGACATACTCCCTTGTCATGGTGTCTGCAGCACTACTGCCCTCCCTCACAACTCTCCCTTGCTGTAGAAACTTAACTCTTGTTTATATCAATTAACCAAGGATAAAATTGGTTTTGTTATACATGTATGTTGTTTTGCTTTAAGTTGCAGCCTCCAAGAACTTATTGATGACATTGAGGACTTCCTGTATACTGGTACAGTTTTTCTGAGGTTGTTACTTATGTTTTATCTAGAAGGAAAAATAAATACTGCTAACGTAGTAAATGACTTTGTTTAACCCTTTGACTGTTTCAGTCGTATATATACTTCTTATGAGGTACCATGTTTGACATATACAGTGGACCCCCGGTTAACAAACTTTTTTCATTCCAGAAGTATGTTCAGGTGCCAGTACTGACCGAATTTTTTCCCATAAGGAATATTGTGAAGTAGATTAGTCCATTTCAGACCCCCAAACATACACGTACAAACGCACTTACATAAATACACTTACATAATTGGTCGCATTTGGAGGTGATCGTTAAGCGTGGGTCCACTGTATACAAATCAAGCAGGAGAAATCTGGTGGGCCCACATGTGAGAGAATGGGTCTGTGTAGTCAGTGTGCACCATATAAAAAAAATCCTGGAGCACTCAGTGCATAATGAGGAAAAAAAAACTCCGACCGTTTTTTTTAATTAAAATGCCAAATTTGTGGTCTATTTTCGTATAGTATTATAGGTTATACAGTGGACCCCCGGTTAACGATATTTTTTCACTCCAGAAGTATGTTCAGGTGCCAGTACTGACCGAATTTGTTCCCATAAGGAATATTGTGAAGTAGATTAGTCCATTTCAGACCCCCAAACATACACGTACAAACGCACTTACATAAATACACTTACATAATTGGTCACATTCGGAGGTGATCGTTATGCGGGGGTCAACTGTATTCTTGTTTTCTTGGTCTCAATTGATAGAATGGAAAACATATTATAGAAATAGAGGTGATTTTGATTGGTTTTGCTATAAAAAGAACCTGGAAATGAAGCTCAAAGTAGGGGATATGTTTGATTTTTGCCAATGTTCAAAAGTAAACAAATGATGTCATTGTCCAATAAATGTCCAAGTAGCCATTCTAATATGCAGTCATGAATGAGTTTACATTATCTGTATAATTATTACAATATTGCAGTAGTCTGCATAACAGTAAATCTTCTATCTTTTGTTTGAATAAAAATTCAAAATAGAAAGCAAGAGTAATATCAGAGGGGCCTGGAGACATGACTGATGAACAAAGAAAATGTTATTTTAGAGCCAGGAATGTCTGCATTGTTCATTCTGGACCTTATTTTGAAATTGTCATATTTTTTAATTTTCGTGAAATTGGCCAAATTACAAATTTCTGACCACGTTATTGGGTAGTTGAAATTGGCAAATGGGCAGTTTCTTGTACTTAATTGATAGAAAAAATGGAGTTCTAAAGAAATAGCTACAAGTTTGGTCGACTGGAACAACGGAATTAGCCGAAAATAAGGCTCAAATTGGGTGAAATTACTGATTTTTAAATATCGCCGAGGTCTCTAACCTTGCAAGGGCGTAATTCCGTCAGTTTTCCATCAAATTTCGTTTTTTTTTTTGGTGTCATTACAATCGGGAAATGATTCTCAATCATTTCATAAGAATTTTTTTTTTTTTTTTTTGAAATTTTGCGACACTAGGAGATACCTCAGGCCTGGGGGTTGTGACAGTCAAGGGGTTAAAAACGTTAGTTTTCTGATTTTTTTTATTTTTAGTGACTCTGTCTTCTTAAATTTTATAATTTTGCAGAAATATTCAACACACAGGAGACTGAAACTTACGATGACATTTTGGGCCAAAATGTTGTCATAACTTTGAGTCTCCTATGTGTGGGTTATTTGTGTATTGTTACAGTCACAGTATTGTGACTTTATTCTTTATAAGTTTGCATAAGAAGTGCTAATGATAGTACGTATTTCATAATCACTTAAATATTGTAAGTATGGAATACACAGAAGGATGGATGAGGGAATTCAAACCATGGTCAGTAAATTGACAGTCTGTTGCTCTACTGTAGAGTGACGGATTGTCAGTTTACAGACCACGGTTCACCCCCCCTTCCCGTCCATCCTTGTTTATTCATTGACAGTTGCATATTACAACTTAATCTTAGTTCTCTGTAACTACCGTTTGTCATACTCACTGTAACTACCATTTACCATCCTCATTGTAACTACCATTTATCATCCTCACTGTAACTACTGTTTATCATCCTCACTGTAACTACTGTTTATCATCCTCATTGTAACTCCTGTTTACCATCCTCATTGTAACTACCATTTATCATCCTCACTGTAACTACTGTTTATCATCCTCACTGTAACTACTGTTTATCATCCTCATTGTAACTCCTGTTTACCATCCTCACTGTAACTACCATTTATCATCCTCACTGTAACTGTTTATCATCCTCACTATAACTACTGTTTATCATCCTTGCTGTAACTATCGTTTATCATTCTCACTGTAACTACTGTTTATCATCCTCACTGTAACTACCATTTATCATCCTCACTGTAACTAATGTTTATCATCCTCATTGTAACTCCCATTTATCATCCTCACTATAACTACTGTTTATCATCCTCACTGTAACTACCATTTATCATTCTCATTGTAAATACTGTTTATCATCCTCACTGTAACTACTGTTTATCATCCTCACTGTAACTACCGTTTATCATCCTCACTGTAACTACCGTTTATCGTCCTTTCCAGCACATGAGTGAAGCTGTTACTGCCGCTTTCATCCAGCTCTATGACTCGGGACTACTTTATAGAAAAAAGTCTTTAGTCAACTGGTGCTGTAGTTTGCAGTCAGCAATCTCCGATATTGAAGTCGATCACGTATATCTGACTGGACCAACTGAGCTTAATATTCCTGGATACGAAAAGCCTGTAACATTTGGAATGATGTATGATTTTGCATACAGAGTTAATAATTCTGGTGAGTGTATCTCTTAATATGTACACTGTAGTTTTTATTTCTTTCCTGGCATCATACCTAATTACAGTGGTACCCCGAGTTTTGAACTTACTTAATTTCAGAATGGTGTTCGAGTGCCAATACCATATGAATTTGTTCCCATAAGGAATAATGTAAATTAGATTAGTCCATTTCAGACCCCCAAAAATACACTTACAAATGCACTTACACAAATACACTTACATAATTGTTCGATTTGGGAGCTGTTCGAAACTTAGGGCACCACTGTACAATATTTCTCATTCCCCAAGCACTGTATAACTCCTATGCATAAATCACTTTCTAGGAACATATTCAGAATGGTGTTCGAGTGCCAATACCATATGAATTTGTTCCCATAAGGAATAATGTAAATTAGATTAGTCCATTTCAGACCCCCAAAAATACACTTACAAATGCACTTACACAAATACCTTTGTAAATTGTGAGTTCATTACCTCTGTAACTTGCTCAGCTATCAAAACTTTGGAGTCCAGTCCCTGGACCAATTATGTACCTCTGTAATCTTTTGACTACCGCCCACAGGATGGGTATGGGGTGACTACCGCCCACAGGATGGGTATGTGGTGACTACCGCCCACAGGATGGGTATGTGGTGACTACCGCCCACAGGATGGGTATGGGGTGACTACCGCCCACAGGATGGGTATGTGGTGACTACCGCCCACAGGATGGGTATGTGGTGACTACCGCCCACAGGATGGGTATGTGGTGACTACTGCCCACAGGATGGGTATGGGGTGACTACCGCCCACAGGATGGGTATGGGGTGACTACCGCCCACAGGATGGGTATGGGGTGACTACCGCCCACAGGATGGGTATGTGGTGACTACCGCCCACAGGATGGGTATGGGGTGACTACCGCCCACAGGATGGGTATGTGGTGACTACCGCCCACAGGATGGGTATGGGGTGCATAATAAACATATTAAACTAACTAACAAATACACTTACATAATTGTTCGATTTAGGAGCTGTTTGAAACTTAGGGCACCACTGTACAATATTTCTCATTCCCCAAGCACTGTATAACTCCTATGCATAAATCTCTTTCTAGGAACATAATAATAATAATAATAATAGTAATAATAATAATAATAATACAGTAATAATAATAATAATAATAATAATAATAATAATAATACAGTAATAATAATAATAATAATAATAATAATAATAATAATAATAATAATAATAGTAATAATAATAATAATAATAATAATAATAATAATAATTAAAATATCAGCTAATGATACAATTTTTTTTATAATGACTGTATACGTATTTTATTCCTTAAATAATTCCAAAACTTCTATGCATAAGTGCTGATGCTTGTAAATTTGAACATCTGGAAGTTGGTAATGTCCTGTATGTACAATTAAGAGTTTTAAAATAATGTTGGGAAATGTATACTGCTCTCCATCATCATAGATGAGGAGCTGGTGGTGAGCACAACACGACCCGAGACCATGCTGGGGGACACAGCAGTGATGGTTCATCCCGAGGATGAGCGCTACAGTCATCTCCATGGCAAATGTGTCTTCCATCCCTTCCGAAAAGACGTCATCCCTGTGATTACTGATGCCGTGGTTGATCCCCAGTTCGGCACAGGTAGTACTGTAGTCCATTGAGTTATGGAACTAAATAATCCCCCAGTTTGGAGAGGAAATTTAAGCATTAAGATTAATCTGCTTGGAATGCACCATATACTACTGTTTTTTCTTATTTTTGTGCTTAACAATATTTTATTACATGTATTTCACGTATTGTACCTAACAATATTTTATTACGAGTTGTATTGTAAAAATTCTTAGATTCGATAATGGTCTAGGATGGACCGGCAAATTGTCTAACGTTTCCTTTGCAAACTGTGGGTCAGTTGTGAATTGTTCCTGCTATGGTATTGTGGCTTTTATTCTTCTTAAAGATTTTATTGTACAGCTGTTTTCTGCAAGATGATAGTATTTTATTATTTTATGTGGCCTTTATTGGTATACAGTGGTACCCTGAGTTTTGAATTGCTCCCAACTCGACCAATTATTTAAGTGTATTTGTGTAAGTGCGTTTGTAAATGTACTTTTGGGGGTCTGAAACATCTAATTTACATTATTCCTTATGGGAACAAATTCATTTGGTATTGGCACTCGAACAGCATTCTGGAATGAAATAAGTTCGAAACTTGGGGCACCACTGTTTTAACATTGTACACTATTTACAAGTAATTAATATGGTAAGTTAAAAACCCAGGAATGCAACTTGTTTGTAAGTTCAGTGTTTCCTCTTTATTAAATAACTCTGCCACACATGATGACATACAGTACCTGTGACCAGTTTCAAATATTATTTTACCCTTGCAGCCATCCTGGAGCCAGGCTTCTCTGGTGATTGCTTGTTCAACCAGGCTGCTGCAGTTGGCAGATTGCCAGCCTACATAGCCATCATCTTGGTTAATCCGACTCTTTGCATGGGTAGCGGTCCACTTTTCTCTTATTTTTTAATTGTTCCAGCAGTATTTTTTATATTTTCTGATAGTATTCAAATAGTCTTGGCTCACAGATGCTGATGCAGTGTTCTCTTATTATGTCCATGGTGTCTTTGCTTTACACCTCTCATATCTCTCCCTTGGTACATTGTTAAGGTAGTCTGTGGATTTGGGACTAGGTCCTTGAGTATATTCCATGTACCAGTACAGGTGTATCTCTCTCTCCTTCAGTCCAGAGAGTACATGGCATGTTCTTTTAGTACAAGCTCTGTATCTTTCCCAGCTCTGATTATCTCTCTATCTCTCCTACCTTTACACCTCTCATATCTCTCCCTTGGTACATTGTTAAGGTAGTCTGTGGATTTGGGACTAGGTCCTTGAGTATATTCCATGTACCAGTACAGGTGTATCTCTCTCTCCTTCAGTCCAGAGAGTACATAGCATGTTCTTTTAGTACAAGCTCTGTATCTTTCCCAGCTCTGATTATCTCTCAATCTCTCCTACCTTGAAAGGAACAGTCATCACTGAGCAATATTTTAATTGAAGGAACACAAATGATTTAAATGGTGGCAGATGCAGTTCACTCTGAATAAGTGTCAAGTCCTAGTTCTTGGGAATGAAAATAACCCTTATACTTATAAGCTAGTGATGTAAAGCTTGATCATACAGAATGTGAAAAAGACCTAGAAGTTATGGTAAGCAGAAATCTGAAGCCAAGACAACAGTGCATAAGTACAGTGGACCCCCGCTTTACGATCACCTCCCAATGCGACCATTTATGTAAGTGTATTTATGTAAGTGCATTTGTACGTGTATGTTTGGGGGTCTGAAATGGACTAATCTAATTCACAATATTCCTTATGGGAACAAATTCGTTAAGTACTGGCACCTGAACATACTTCTGGAATGAAATAATATCGTAAACTGGGGGTCCACTGTATTTGGATTTATATCAGGAAGTATAAACAACAGAAGTCCTTTTGTGTTACTGTCTGGTGTGAATGTTTTAGTTTCTTCTCCGTATGGTTCAAACGATCAGGTGAAATTGCAATGTTTACACTCGTACAACAGGTGTGGTGAAGGTGACGCCTGGACACAGCCAAGAAGATTTTGATGTGGGTCAGAGACACAACCTCCAGCAACTCACTGTTTTTGATGAAAAGGGAAAATTAACAGATATAGTGCCAGAATTTAAGGTGAGATCATGAGGGGTGTTAATGTTACAATTTTATAACTGTAGTGTAAGCATGCCTCAGGCAAGACAGTGGAGTGAATGATGATGAAAGTTTTTCTTTTTCGGGCCACCCTGCCTTGGTGGGAGACGGCCGATGTGTTAATAAAATAAAAAAAAAATCATCATTCTTGTAATTGTATGTGATTCAATAGCATGGTTGCTGTGGAAATGATGCATGTGCAGTATGTAATTAGGGTAAGGGGTTATTGATTTAATGGTCAAGATCTGTTATTTTCATGTAGTCGGACTTGAGTCCTGGAAATGGGAAGTACAATGCCTGCACTTTAAAGGACGGGTTTGGGATATTGGCAGTTTGGAGGGATATGTTGTGTATCTTTATATGTGTATGCTTCTAAACTGTTGTATTCTGAGCACCTCTGCAAAAACAGTGATAATGTGCGAGTGTGGTGAAAGTGTTGAATGATGATGAAAGTATTTTCTTTTTGGGGATTTTCTTTCTTTTTTTGGGTCACCCTGCCTCGGTGGGAGACGGCCGACTTGTTGAAAAAAAAAAAAAAATCTGTGGATGGACAGCATCTAGTAGTGGACAAAATTCGTTCAGATCTGCTTGTTACAATCCATAAATTCTGCTTCATGACTCACACCCTGTGAATGCAGTGGCTGGGTTGGTAGCACAATCAGCTCACACACTGAGTGGCTGTGATTCAATCCCCGGCTGGATGGAAACATTGGCCATGCTTCTCTACACCTGCTGCCCAAGTTTGCTAGCAGTATGTACCTGGGTGTTAGCTAACTGTTGTGGGTGGCATCCTGGGGGATGGTAGTATACCTTAGGTAGGGCTGGGCTTTGAAATAAGCTGAGGTAAGACAACGGCTCTTGGCCTGTAAAATTGATGTGTAAAAAAAGAAATGTATTTGTATTCTGCACAGAACCTGCCAAGATTTGCAGCGCGCCAAGCTGTGATAGAAGCATTAACCGAGATGAGACTATATCATGGCTCTAAGCCCCACCCCATGATGGTGCCACGCTGCAGTCGAACCCACGATATTATCGAGCCTTTGCTGAAGCCTCAGTGGTGAGTCTTTGTGAGTTGTACCTAACTATACACCAGCCACCACTCTCCTATTTTAGCCCATCAAATAGGGATGCCTTGATGCCAGTGAAAGGCTTTTGATCCAATGAATTGAAGCAAACCCTTCCCTTAGCTAAATTAGGAATGTAACTTGCCTTTAAGTTTGCAACCTCCTGTGTCTTTCTTGAAGTACAGTGGACCCCCGGTTAACGATATTTTTTCATTCCAGAAGTACAGTATGTTCAGGTGCCAGTACTGACCGAATTTGTTCCCATAAGGAATATTGTGAATTAGATTAGTCCATTTCAGACCCCCAAACATACACGTACAAACGCACTTACATAAATACACTTACATAATTGGTCGCATTGGGAGGTGATCGTTAAGCGGGGGTCCGCTGTATATTGTTTCTGAAGGTAAATGAAATAAAGATGCAATCAATTGTTGTACATTTATAATCATGAATTAGTATCTTAACATTTACAGTACTGTATATATCTTAATTTTTAAAGCATAAAGTTGCTTAAGTTTAGAGTAATGAGTGTTGAAAAAAGTCCTTTGTATGTGGGTATGTGGAGCAGTTTAGGCCAGCTTGAAGATTAATAATAATAATGTACAAGTCTGTAAGTCTAGAACTTTGTTGTGTCTGCGTCCCCTCAAGGGAGGTTCCTTGATGCTGGTGAGGGGCTCTTGATCTAGGGAATTGGATCTGTGCTCCAGTTCCCTGAATCGAGCCTGAATGCCTTTCATCCATTCCCCTTCCCACAGGTGCTGTATCATCCCTATGGGTTTAATGCTCCCCCATGATGATAATAAATGTGTCTGCATCAATTTACCTAATAGATTTCATTCCACATTTCTGTAGTCTGTTATATTGATGGTTTACTGTATTATGTATACTTAGAACAAGATTACTGGTTAGCTGGACTTGAGTCCTGGAGGTGGGCAGTACAATGTCTGCACTTTAAAGGAGGGGGTTTGGGATATAGCTATTTGGAATGACATTTAAACTATCATATCTGGGTGCCTCAACACAGACAGTGATATTGTGTGAATGATGGTGAATGTGTTTCTTTCTTTTTTTGATCACCCTGCCTCGGTGGGAGATGGCCAGTGTGTTGAAAAAAAAAATTACCCTAAAAGCAGAATTTTGAATTCAGTTAACAGCAACTCTGCTTAATACAAATGTAAGTTTTTATTTCTTTATGCACTACAAAATAATATAGAGGTGCTAATGTTGCAGTTTTATAACTATAGTGTAAGTGCATCTCTGGCAAGACAGTGATGGAGTGAATGATGGTGAAAGTTTTTTTTTTCGGGCCACCCTGCCTTGGTGGGAGACGGCCGATGTGTTAATAAATAAATATTCAAATTCAAATTCAGATTTTTCTTTTCTTTTATGCAGTACACTGGTAATGTGATTACATGTAATAAAACATTGGTAGGCACAAAAAAAGCCACTAGTATACATTGAATTTCAGATCAATTAATCACTAATTACTAATGCACTTCAGGTTCATTAGGTGCAGTGATATGGCTGCTAAAGCTATTGATGTTGTTCAAAAAGGTGAGCTACATATCTATCCTGAAACTTACAAGAAAACGTGGAATGAATGGTTGGAGAACGATATTGACTGGTGTGTTTCTCGGCAACTTTGGTGGGGCCACCAAATTCCTGCTTACTGTGTGACCTCGGAAGACGGGGAGTTTTGGGTTGCTGCACGATCCAGAGATGATGCAAAAAGCAAAGTTGCTGAGAAAGAAGGTTAGTCTTTTTTAATGAACTATATAAAAGTGAAGGGATTCAGGGAAACTAGTTAGTTGGACTTGAGTCCAGTGCCTGCACTCTAAAGGATGAGTGGGTATTTTTGCAGTTTGGAGGGGCATCTGTACTGTGGTATCTGCATGCCTCTGACAAGGTAGTGATAGAGTGAATACACAAATAACCTCCACATAGAAGAGAGGAGCTTGTAACGATGTTTTGATCAGACTGGGACCATTTACAAAGTCACACTAACAAAAAGGAGAGAAGGAGGGAGTATATATAGGCCAGCAGACAGGGACAGGACAAGAGAGGTAGTAGATAAGGAAGAAGAGAGGTAGTGGTAGTGGTAGTAGTAGTAGTAGTAGTAGTGGAGCCAGTCAAATACTTAGATAGAGGAGCACTGCAAGGGAGCTAGGGGCCCACAGAGGGTAGGAGCAAGAACACAGAGGGGGAAAATAATAAGGACAAATACCCAAGGCAGAAAAAAGAAAACCCAAAGGAGAAAGAGGAGAGGGGAAAGAAAAAAGAATCAGGTTAAGTCATGGGTGTTCTGAAGTTTGGAGCATTTTACATTGTACATGTAATGGGAGAGGAAGGCATCTACAGAGACAAAGCCACGACTAAGATTCATACAAGGAAAGTTGTGTATAAGGGAGGATTCAGCCAGACGGCGACTGTGAAAGTTAGAAGTAGGGAAGACAGTTTTAGCAGAAGACCAGTCAATAGGATGGCTGTGATCTCTGACGTGACAGAAAAGAGCATTGTTGGTGTCGGCAAGCCTAACACTACTTTTGTGCTCCCTAAGTCTGTCAGAAAGAGAATGGCCAGTTTTTCCAAAGCAGTGAAGAGGACAGGAGGAACAAGAAATAGAGTAGACACCAAGAGCAGCTGTAGAGGGAGGAGAGGTATGAACTAGATTAGTGTGAAGAGTGTTAGTCTGGCAGAAAGTAAGTTTGATGTCTAAGGAACAGAGGAAGTTGTTGAGATTAGAATCTTAATGCTGGCTTTGTTTCTGTAGATGCCTTCCTTTCCCATTACATTGGAAAATGCTCCAAACATCAGAACACCTGTGACTTACCCTGATTCTTTTTTTACCCCTAACCCTTTTCCCCTTTCCTATTTCCTCTTTCTCCTTTGGGTTTTCTTTCTTCTGCCTTGGGTATTTGTCCTTTATTATTTCCCCCCTCTGTGGTTTTTGCTCCTACTCTCTGTGGGCCCTTAGCTCCCTTGCAGTGCTCCTCTTTCTTAGTATTTGACTACTACTACTACTACTACTACTACTACTACTACTACTACTACTACTACTACTACTACTACTACTACTACTACTATACTACTACTACTACTACTACTACTACTACTACTACTACTACTACTACTACTACTACTACTACTACTACTACTACTACTACTACTACTACTACTACTACTACTAGTACTACTACTACTACTACTACTACTACTACTACTATTACTACTACTACTACTACTACTACTAATAACTACTAACAACTACTACTACTACTAACTACTACTACCACCACCTCTACCTTTCTTCCTCCTTTCCTACTACCTCTCTTGTCCCGGCCCTCATTTTCTCCTTTTTGTTAGTGTGACTTTGTAAATGGTCCATGTCGGTTCGGAATGTTGTCGTAAGCTCTTCTCTTCTGTGTGTGGGTTATTTGTGTATTGTTCCAGTCATGGTATTGTGCCTTTTATTTTTTATTTATAGAGTGAATGATGATGAAAGTGTTTCTTTTTCAGGTCAACCTACCTCAGTGTGTTAAAAACAAAGGAGTGACCCATAAGAGGAATCACATTCACCATCACTCACTCCCTAGTGGTTTCTCACTAAGGTAGGGTGACCCAAAAAATGAAACACGTTCAGTGTAACTTTAACAAAAACAAAGTTATGAATCTAAGAAAGGAGGCCAAAAATACAGTACTGTACAATCTAGGAGTGAAAAACTCATAAAAACAGTAAGAAATAAAAAAAATCTAGGAATTAACACCCCTCCAAATGTGTCTCCTGAGGCATATAAAAACAGAATAACATCAGCTCAGTAACTTAGCTTGCAAAATTGAGTGACTTCAGGAGCTTAGATAAAGACTCTTTATAATGGTACTTCATAAGTGCAACCCATTCTTGAATACAGTGCCAGTGTAAAACCCCACATCTAGTGAAACTTGAGTGAAACTTGAGTGATGCAGAGGAGAGTATCAAGAACTTGAGAGTGCAGAGGAGAGTATCAAGAACTTGAGAGTGCAGAGGAGAGTATCAAGACATACCTGAACTGAGGAGAATGAACTATGATGAGAGACTGTACAAACTAAATAACAAAAAAGGCACAATACCATGACTGGAACGATACACAAATAACCTGCACAAGAAGAGAGGTGCTTACGACGATCTTTCAGTTCGACCTGGACCATTTACAAAGTCACACTAATGAAAGGAGAGTGGGAGGGAGTATATATAGGCAGGAGGTGGTAGTAGTAGTAGTAGTAGTAGTGAAGTAGAAGGTAGTAGTAGTGGGGAGGTAGTAAGGAGAAGGAGTCAGTCAAATACTAAGAAAGAGGAACACTACTAGAGACCTAGGTGCCCACACAGGGTAAGAGCAAGAAAACAGAGGGGGGAAAATAGATAAATAAATAATAAAGGAACACATACGCAAGGCAGAAGAAAGACAACCCAAACTCTCTATTTCTGGGAACTCTTCTGTCTTCTGCCTTCCCTATATTTCTGGTCTTTCTAATCTCAACAACTCTCTCCGTTCCTTAGACATAAAACTTACTTTCTGCCAGACTAACACCTTTCGCACCAATCTCGTTCATACATCTCCTCCCTCTACAGATGCTCCTGGTGTTTACTCTGTTTCTTGTTCCTCCTGTCCTCTTCAATACTTTGGAGAAACCAGCCAATCTCTTTCTGACAGACTTAGGGAGCACAAAAATAGTGTTAGACTTGCCAATACTAACAATGTTCTTTTCTGTGCGTCAGAGATCACAGCCATCCTACTGACTGGTCTTCTGCTAAAACTGTCTTGCCTATTTCCAACTTCAACAGTCACTGTCTGGTTGAATCCTCCCTAATACACAACTTTCCTTGTATGAATCTTAGTCCTGGCTTCGTCTCTGTAGATGCCTTCCTTTCTCACTACATTGCAAAATGCTCCAAACTTCAGAACATCCGTGACTTAACCTGATTCCTCTTTTTTTTCTTCTTCTTCTCCCTCTTCCCCTTTCCTCTTTCCTTTTTCTCCTTTGGGTTGCCTATTTGTTCCTTCATTATTTCTTTATCTATTTTCCCTCCTCTGTGTTCTTGCTCTTACCCTCTGTGGACACCTAGCTCTCTTGCAGTGTTCCTCTTTCTTAGTATTTGATTGACTCCTCCTTACTACCTCCCCGCTACTACTCCTACCACCTCCTGCCTATGTATACTCCCTCCTACTCTCCTTTCATTAGTGTGACTTTGTATGGTCCAAGTCAGACCGAAATGTCATCGTAAGCTCCTCTCTTCTATGTGCGGGTCATTTGTGTACTGTACAAACTTGGTGTAATGTCACTGGAGGAGTGGAACATGATCATGACATAATATGCTGTGGCACATGTACAAGATAGACAAGGATGAGCTTTCAAACCATGGAACGGATAGGGTTTGAACCCATGGGAAGTGAGTTCCCACTTGTGTAGTTTGTTTGCAATCATTGTATTACAGTTTGGTGATTAAGGATGAACTCTGTTAGCAGAGATACAACAAGAACAGGTGAATATGGTTGGCCATCTACCATTGAAGTATGGTGACCCGAAAAAGAAACACTTCCACCATCATTCACACCCAAATTAGCCCCAGAGATATTTGGTAGCACTTCATAACAGTTGGAGTAGTAAATAAACAGAATAAGTTAGTTTATTTATTTATACACACTCATCTGAGTTTTCTTTGATTTTATCTTAATAGTTCTTGGTCTTATTACTTTTCCTTTTATATCCATGGGGAAGTGGAATAAGAATCTTTCCTCCGTAAGCCATGCGTGTTGCAAAAGTCAACTAAAATGCCGGGAACAATGGGCTAGTAACCCCTTTTCCTGTAAAGATTACCAAAAAGAATAAGAAGAAGAAAATTGTCAAAGTGGGATGTCTGAATGTGCGTGGATGTTGTGCAGATGATAAGAAAGAGATGATTGTGGATGTTATGAATAAGAAGAAACTGGATGTCCTGGCTTTAAGTGAAACAAAGCTGAAGGGGGTGGGAGAGTTTCAATGGAGAGGAATAAATGGGATTAGGTCAGGGGTTTCAAATAGAGTTAGAGCTAAAGAAGGAGTAGCAATAATGTTGAAGGATAAGCTATGGCAGGAAAAGAGGGACTATAAATGTATTAATTCAAGGATTATGTGAAGTAAAATAAAGATTGAATGTGAAAAGTGGGTTATAATAAGCGTGTATGCACCTGGAGAAGAGAGAAGTGTAGAGGAGAGAGATTTTGGGAAATGTTGAGTGAATGCGTGGGGAGTTTTGAATCAAGTGTGAGAGTAATGGTGGTTGGGGATTTCAATGCTAAAGTGGGTAAAAATGTTATGGAGGGAGTAGTAGGTAAATTTGGGGTGCCAGGGGTAAATGTAAATGGGGAGCCTTTAATTGAGCTATGTGTAGAAAGAGATTTGGTAATAAGTAATACATATTTTATGAAAAAGAGGATAAATAAATATACAAGGTATAATGTAGCACGTAATGAAAGTAGTTTATTAGATTATGTATTGGTGGATAAAAGGTTGATGGGTATGCTCCAGGATGTACATGTTTATAGAGGGGCAACTGATATATCGGATCATTATTTAGTTGTAGCCACAGTTAGAGTAAGAGGTAGATGGGAAAAGAGGAAGGTGGCAACAACAAGTAAGAGGGAGGTGAAAGTGTATAAACTAAGGGAGGAGGAAGTTCGGGTGAGATATAAGCGACTATTGGCAGAAAGGTGGGCTAGTGCAAAGATGAGTAGTGGGGGGGGTTGAAGAGGGTTGGAATAGTTTTAAAAATGCAATATTAGAATGTGGGGCAGTATTAGAATGTGGTTATAGGTGGGTGGGGGCAGGAGGAAAGAGGAGTGATTGGTGGAATGATGAAGTAAAGGGTGTGATAAAAGAGAAAAAGGTAGCTTATGAGTGGTTTTTACAAAGCAGAAGTGTTATAAGAAGAGCAGAGTATATGGAGAGTAAAAGAAAGGTGAAGAGAGTGGTGAGAGAGTGCAAAAGGAGAGCAGATGATAGAGTGGGAAAGGCACTGTCAAGAAATTTTAATGAAAATAAGAAAAAAATTTGGAGTGAGTTAAACAAGTTAAGAAAGCCTAGGGAATGAATGGATTTGTCAGTTAAAAACAGAGTAGGGGAGTTAGTAGATGGGGAGAGGGAGGTATTAGGTAGATGGCGAGAATATTTTGAGGAACTTTTAAATGTTGAGGAAGAAAGGGAGGCGGTAATTTCATGCACTGGCCAGGGAGGTATACCATCTTTTAGGAATGAAGAAGAGCAGAATGTAAGTGTGGGGGAGGTACGTGAGGCATTACGTAGAATGAAAGGGGGTAAAGCAGCTGGAACTGATGGGATCATGACAGAAATGTTAAAAGCAGGGGGAGATATAGTGTTGGAGTGGTTGGCACTTTTGTTTATTAATAAATGTATGAAAGAGGGGAAGGTACCTAGGGATTGGCGGAGAGCATGTATAGTCCCTTTATACAAAGGGAAAGGGGATAAAAGAGACTGTAAAAATTATAGAGGAATAAGTTTACTGAGTATACCAGGAAAAGTGTACGGTAGGGTTATAATTGAAAGAATTAGAGGTAAGACAGAATGTAGGATTGCGGATGAGCAAGGAGGTTTCAGAGTGGTAGGGGATGTGTAGATCAAGTGTTTACATTGAAGCATATATGTGAACAGTATTTAGATAAAGGTAGGGAAGTTTTTATTGCATTTATGGATTTAGAACAGGCATATGATAGTGGATAGAGGAGCAGTGTGGCAGATGTTGCAAGTATATGGATTAGGTGGTAAGTTATTAAATGCTGTAAAGAGTTTTTATGAGGATAGTGAGGGTCAGGTTAGGGTATGTAGAAGAGAGGGAGACTACTTCCCGGTAAAAGTAGGTCTTAGTCAGGGATGTGTAATGTCACCATGGTTGTTTAATATATTTATAGATGGGGTTGTAAAGGAAGTAAATGCTAGGGTGTTCAGGAGAGGGGTGGGATTAAATTTTGGGGAATCAAATTCAAAATGGGAATTGACACAGTTACTTTTTGCTGATGATACTGTGCTTATGGGAGATTCTAAAGAAAAATTGCAAAGGTTAGTGGATGAGTTTGGGAATGTGTGTAAAGAACATAAGAACAAACATAAGAAAGGAGGAACACTGCAGCAGGCCTGTTGGCCCATACTAGGCAGGTCCTTTACAATTCATCCCACAGGTAGAAAGTTGAAAGTGAACATAGAAAAGAGTAAGGTGATGAGGGTATCAAATGATTTAGATAAAGAAAAATTGGATTTCAAATTGGGGAGGAGGAGTATGGAAGAAGTGAATGTTTTCAGATACTTGGGAGTTGACATGTCGGCGGATGGATTTATGAAGGATGAGGTTAATCATAGAATTGATGAGGGAAAAAAGGTGAGTGGCGCGTTGAGGTATATGTGGAGTCAAAAAACGTTATCTATAGAGGCAAAGAAGGGAATGTATGAAAGTATAGCAGTACCAACACTCTTATATGGGTGTGAAGCTTGGGTGGTAAATGCAGCAGCGAGGAGACGGTTGGAGGCAGTGGAGATGTCCTGTTTAAGAGCAATGTGTGGTGTAAATATTATGCAGAAAATTCGGAGTGTGGAAATTAGGAAAAGGTGTGGAGCTAATAAAAGTATTAGTCAGAGGGCAGAAGAGGGGTTGTTGAGGTGGTTTGGTCATTTAGAGAGAATGGATCAAAGTAGAATGACATGGAAAGCATATAAATCTATAGGGGAAGGAAGGCGGGGTAGGGGTCGTCCTCGAAAGGGTTTTAGAGAGGGGGTAAAGGAGGTTTTATGGGCGAGGGGCTTGGACTTCCAGCAAGCGTGCGTGAGCGTGTTAGATAGGAGTGAATGGAGACGAATGGTACTTGGGACCTGACGATCTGTTGGAGTGTGAGCAGTGTAATATTTAGTGAAGGGATTCAGGGAAACCAGTTATTTTCATATAGTCGGACTTGAGTCCTGGAAATGGGAAGTACAATGCCTGCACTTTAAAGGAGGGGTTTGGGATATTGGCAGTTTGGAGGGATATGTTGTGTGTCTTTATATGTATATGCTTCTGAACTGTTGTATTCTGAGCACCTCTGTAAAAACAGTGATAATGTGTGAGTGTGGTGAAAGTGTTGAATGATGATAAAAGTATTTTCTTTTTGGGGATTTTCTTTCTTTTTTGGGTCACCCTGCCTCGGTGGGAGACGGCCGACTTGTTGAAAAAAAAAAAAGTTAGTATTGGCATGATGGAATTGAAAATAAATGTGAGAAGGCTCAATCATGTCAGTTGGTGGGACCAAGAACCTGAGTTCATCTTTGCAAACTTAACCCTTAAACTGTCCAAACGTAGATCTATGTTTGCACGTGTAGTGCTCCGAATGTAGTCCTAGGTTTTTATTACGTAAGAAACAATGTAAAATAGAACGTAGATCTACGTTTGGAGTGCTATGCGTGTGAACGTAGATCTACGTTTGGAGCGCTACACGTGCAAACGTAGATCTACATTTGGATAGTTTAAGGGTTAAATACCATAAATGGGTAATCATACAAATTTGTTTCATCTTGTTGCAGATACCAAAATCACTATTAACCCTTAAACTGTCCAAACGTAGATCTATGTTTTCACGTGTAGCGCTCCGACCTTGATTTTCTCCATAAGAAAGCATGTAAAAAATGCACAGCGTACTAGTGGCTTTCTTGTGTGCCAAACAATAGTTTGTTACATGTAAACTACATTATTGTATACTGCAGAAAAGAAATAAGTATGTATTTTGTATTGTGTAAGAGATTCTTCTACTGGGTAATGGAACACGTGTTGTTGACAATTTTAACTACCTTGATATGAGCAAAATAAAGTCAAGATTGCTGCCGTATATGGAGGACCCCACTTATACAGCAGGTTAGGTACCAGGCTACTGCTGTACAGGGGGACCCCACTTATACAGCAGGTTAGGTACCAGGCTACTGCTGTACAGGGGGACCCCACTTATACAGCAGGTTAGGTACCAGGGTACTGCTGTACAGGGGGACCCCACTTATACAGCAGGTTAGGTACCAGGCTACTGCTGTACAGGAGGACCCCACTTATACAGCAGGTTAGGTACCAGGCTACTGCTGTACAGGGGGACCCCACTTATACAGCAGGTTAGGTACCAGGCTACTGCTGTACAGGGGGACCCCACTTATACAGCAGGTTAGGTACCAGGGTACTGCTATAGTACAGCAAAAAGTAGGTCAAGAATTATGTATGTATCTAACTGTTTCCTGTTAGATATAGGAGTTAATGAGGCTTATTTGTAGTGTTCTAAATATACAGAAAACAGTGACTCTTGCTTAATATTGTGATTATGTTCTTTATAAGAGTGAATCTTAGTAAGAACATCCATGTAACTTCCAGGTATCTCTGAGTCGAGCATTGTATCAGTGTGTCAAGATGAGGATGTACTGGACACGTGGTTCTCCTCAGCGCTGTTTCCCTTTGCTGCCTTCGGATGGCCTAGACATACAGATTGCTTGGAGCATTTGTATCCCACCACCCTCCTTGAAACTGGTCATGATATCCTGTTCTTCTGGGTGGCTCGGATGGTTATGTTGGGACTTCACCTCACACAGGAGCTGCCGTTTAAGGTACAATACATTCAGCTTTTATTAAAGTAACTTTTATTTTGCCATATTAGCTGCTTCTGACCTTGGTAGGGACACTCAAACAAAAGAAATACTCTCACCATCATTCATTCAATAGCTTTTTGTGAAAAATATGCAGACATCATAATAATAATAATAATAATAATAATAATAATATTTCAGCATGATGGAATGTTTGTACAGAGATAGTTGACATTTAGTTATGCCTGCAGAAAGCCTGTTGTTATGCAGAACACATGCTTTTGCCTGCTTTTCACAAACTGCTATTGAATGAATAATGGCGAAGGTATTTTGTGTTGTAGGTCATCCTACAAAACTGCAGCTTCTGTAATTACAGAAACACTGATCATTAGCAGTTTAGCAGTAATGTTGTTGGCTGTGAATGATATTCTGTTAAGTGTCTAGTTGATAATGTCTTCGGACACATAGTATCATCTTGTGGCTTGGTCTTTAACCTGGGCTCCAGGTTGACACGTACTCAGTCAGGCTGTTAGTACTTGCAGGCTGAAATAGGTATCACATCCTGGTTGATCATGAACTTTTGTAGAAATCATGATTCCTCTTGTAGGTGGATGTGCATTAATTTCCCTTATACTTAAATTAAAGTTATAGCCTTTCTCTTATATACATTACTAAATGTACAGTAGAACCTCGGTTTTCGTGATTAATCCACTTGAAAAAGTCTGACGAAAACCTAATCGAATGAAAACGGAAGCAATATTTCCCATAAGAAATAATGAAAATCCAGTTAATCCATCCCAGACACCCAAAAATATTAACAAAAAATACATTTATAGATCATTTTCTCCAAGAATTGTCTCCAACTAGGGCATACGAAAACTGAGGTTCCACTGTAAAAAGAAGAAAAACTTTACGAAGGTAACTTATTTTTGGGTCACCTTTCCTAGGTGGGAGACAGCCATTGGGTTAAAAAAATTAGAAGCTACAGATGGGAAGCTTTGAATCTTCTCATACACTGAATTATCTTATAGTGTGTTTATTGCACTCCTGCTTTTCATTGAAAGTACTGTGTAGTGTTGCTTGTATCTTGTGCCCTCAGAAATGTGTTTAAGTATTGAAGGTACTGTGTAGTGTTGCTTGTATCTTGTGCCCTCAGAAATGTGTTTCAGTATTGAAGGTACTGTGTAGTGTTGCTTGTATCTTGTGCCCTCACAAGGGTGTGTTTCAGTATTGAAGGTACTGTGTAGTGTTGCTTGTAACTTGTGCCCTCACAAGGGTGTGTTTCAGTATTGAAGGTACTGTGTAGTGTTGCTTGTATCTTGTGCCCTCACAAGGGTGTGTTTCAGTATTGAAGGTATTGTGTAGTGTTGCTTGTATCTTGTGCCCTCACAAGGGTGTGTTTCAGTATTGAAGGTACTGTGTAGTGTTGCTTGTATCTTGTGCCCTCACAAGTGTGTGTTTCAGTATTGAAGGTACTGTGTAGTGTTGCTTGTATCTTGTGCCCTCTGAACCCTTAAACTGTCCAAACGTAGATCTACGTTCGCTCGTGTAGTGCTCCAAATATAGATCTACGTTTTTTTTACATGCTTTCAAATGGAGAAAATCAAGGTCGGAGTGCTACGTGCATAAACGTAGACCTGCGTTTAGACAGTTTAAGGGTTAAGGGTGTGTTTCAATGTATACAGCACATGGAACCAAACCATCTAGTATTTTTCAGGTGTTTGTTATGTTTTTCTTGCCTTTGCTTCTGGGATTACAGATTGATTTAGGGTTTTCTAATAATTTAGTTTCTTTGAATTGATGTGGCTAATGAAAGTTCTCTGTGTATTGTACTCAATTACAGTTTTGCCTTCCTTATTTTTCTTTTCATACAGTGGCTGTCTCCTACCAAGGCAGGGTATTATACCCTGTGATACCATATGATTTCTCTTGTTTCCACCAGGGTGTTTTACTTCATGGTTTACTGTGTGACGCCCAAGGCCACAAGATGTCAAAATCACGAGGGAATGTTATTGATCCCATTGATGTTATCGAGGGCGCTTCACTAAAGGTATGTGTATTGTAATCTTATTTAACCCTTTGCCTGTTGCAACCACAAATCCTGAGGTGTCTCCTTGTGTCGCAAAATATTTGAAAAAAAAAAATTATTTTTTCTTAAGAAATGATAGAGAATCTTTTCCTGGTGGTAATGACACCAAAAGTATGAAAATTGATGGAAAACTTCTGGAATTATGCTCTCGTGAAGTTAGCGACCTTGGTGACATTTACACATCGGCGATTTCACCCAGTTAGAACCCTATTTTTGGTCAGTTCCATTGTTCCAGTCAACCAAACTCATAGCTATTTCTTTAGAACTACATTTGTTCTATCGACAGAGTACAAGAAGCTGCCCATTTACTGATTTCAACTACCTAATAAAGTGGTCAGAAATTGGCAGTTTGGCCAATTTCATGCAAATTAAAAAATATGTCAATTTCAAAATAGGGTCCAGAATGAACAATGTAGACATTCCTGGCACTAAAATGACATTTTCTCTGTTCATCAGTCACGTCTCCAGGCCCCTGTTATAATACTCTTGCTGTCTATTTTGAATTTTTATTCACACAAAAATAGAAGATTGACTGTTATGCAGACTACTGCAATATTGTAATAATTGTATAAATAACGTCAACCCATTTATGACTGCATATTAGAATGGCTAGTTGGACATTTATTGGACAATAACATCATTTGTTTACTCTTAAACATCGGCAAAAATCAAACATTTCTCCTACTTTGAGCTCCATTTCAAGATTCTTTTCATAGTAAAACCAATTAAAATTACCTCTATTTCTATAATATGTTTTCCATTCTATCAAATGAGACCAAGAAAACGAGAATACAACCATAAATACTATACAAAAATACACCTCAAAGATGGCGTTTTAATCCAAAGACACGGAGTTTTTTTCTCATTATGCACTGCATGCTGCAGCATTTTATTATACTGTGCACACTGACCACACAGACCCATTCTCTCACATGTGGGCCTACCAGCTTTCTCCTGCTTTATTTGAAGCCGTTAGAATTTTTGAGTATACATACGTCAAACATTTTGGCTTACGACTTACGACCGAATTCGGTTCCGAGAAACCGGTCGTAAGTCGAAATGGTCGTAAGTCGAACTTTACTACTGAATATCAACAAAACATTTTTGTAATGACTTTATTTTATTGTTTTATTTTGGTATTTCATGTTTTACTTTACTTTTTATGCTGTTAGTACTGTATTTTATACTGTAAGGTTTAGGATAAACACTGTGTACAACACAAATAGTTTTTTATTTCCCAGAAATTTGGCATAAAAAACACGGTCGTAAGTCAAGTGGTCATAAGTCGGATGGTAGGTGTATATGATCAAAACAGTCAAAGGGTTAAAAAGTGAAAAAAAAAAAAATTGACAAGTTTTTCAGACTATCAGCAAAGTTGTGATGACTGAGGCCACTGACAGCAACAGCCTGGTTATCTAGACAGGGCTTTGAGAGACAGATATCACAAAATAACCCAGCAAAAAGCAGCAGTCAGAATGATAACAAATTCCCACTCCCGACAACATAATCCACCAATTTTCAAAAGTCTAAATCTGCTCACCATTAAGAACATGCCTACTTATTCATGTGCCTACTACATACACAGAACAATACACGCAAATATAAACCTCCACTCAAACTCTTTCTCACTAACTTTAACAGGACACATGACCATAACACAAAAGACAGATCTCTCTTTGACGTACCCCATGTCCATATCACATTGTGTAAAAACTCTATGCACATAAAGGGCCCCAAAATATGGAATTCATTACCAGAAGATATTAAAGTAACCTGGTCTGAAAATCAATTTAAGATTCTTCTCAAAAGCCACTTAATCACCCTAGACTATATGCTCAATACTCAGTATTCCCATACTCAATACATATTCCCATATTATAATTTCAATAATTACTTTTGAATCTATTATCCATTGTTGACAGGAATATAATCGAATCATTGTTTCACAAAAAGCAATTTTAAATATATGAATATATCTTTTGTTTTATATAAATTAGATTCACTTATAATTAATAGATCTACTGTACAACTATGATAAATTTCGTAAGTGTTAAGTAGTCAGTAGGCCAATAATATTAAGTCGGTCCATAATGCCAAAGCATAATAGAGGCTCTCTTTGTATGCAACCCACTATTGTAAATACATAATCTCAATGTACTATTTGCAAAGACATAAATAAATAAATAAATAAACAAATAAAACATACAGTAAAAATCTATTTGCATGTTTATTGTATGTTTTCTAAGTGGTTTTTATCTCAGGTCATTTTAACAGCTTATATCTTTTTTTCTTTCAACATACCAGCCGTATCCCACCGAGGCGGGGTGGCCCAAAAGAAAAAACTAAAGTTTCTCTTTTTAAATTTAGTAATATATACAGGAGAAGGGGTTACTAGCCCCTTGCTCCCGGCATTTTAGTCGCCTCTTACAACACGCATGGCTTACGGAGGAAGAATTCTGTTCCACTTCCCCATGGAGGTAAGAGGAAATAAACAAGAACAAGAACTAGAAAGAAAATAGAAGAAAACCCAGAGGGGTGTGTGTGTGTATATATATGCTTGTACATGTATGTGTAGTGTGACCTAAATGCAAGTAGAAGTAGCAAGACATACCTGAAATCTTGCATGTTTATGAGACAGACAAAAGACACCAGCAATCCTACCATCATGTAAAACAATTACAGGCTTTCGTTGTACACTCACTTGGCAGGACGGTAGTACCTCCCTGGGTGGTTGCTGTTTACCAACCTACTACCTAGAACAGCTTATATTATTAAACTTATTAAAAACATATATCATGAACTAATAGAATATTCAGTTGTCTTGTCTTCATTATAAACCCCTAAATTTTAAATTACACTCACCTAAGTGACTACAAGTACAAAATTACACAAATAGTTATTGTTTTTTTAATCTTAAGTTAGTCTTAAGTTTGCCCAAAATGCTCTGCATATAAAGGAACTTTTGGCATGTACACCCAAATGTTACATTCCTTTGTACAAACATTTTATTATGCTGAAATAAACTTCTTCTTATTACCAGTGGTTGTACATCCATATGCTTCATGGTGTATCAAAAAAAGTGGTATCTATAATGGTGTCCAAAAATGGTTTGCCTACCTCCCCTACCAAGCAGTAATTAATCCATCCTCTCCCATCCTCCCGTCTTCCATACACTAAGAACAATCATCAATAAAGGTAAGTATCATGCTATTATTGTTTCATTCATGTCTCATTGTTTTTTGTGTATGTACATCTATATTTCATGTAAAAAAATTATTTTGTTTTAATACTTTTGGGTGTCTGGAACGGATTAATTGGATTTACATTATTTCTTATGAGGAAAATGGTTTCGCAAATTGTCAATTTCAATATTAGCCACACTCTCTGGAATGGATTAATTACGAAAAACAAGGGTCCACTGTATTTTTAAATGCACCTACCATCCGACTTACGATTGAGTTCCGTTCCGAGAAACCAGTTGTAAGTCGAAATGGACGTAAGTCGAACTTGACTACTGAATATCAACATCACATTTTTGTAATGACTATTTTATTGTTTTATTTTGGTATTTCATGTTTTACTTTACTTTTTGTGCTGTTAGTACTGTATTTTATACTGTAAGGTTTAGGATAAACACTGTGCACAACACAAATAGTTGTTTATTTCCCAGAAATTTGGCACAAAAAACATGGTCGTAAGTCGAGTGGTCGTAAGTCGAGCAGGTCGTAAGTCGGATGGTAGGTGTATTTATACAGAAGTGTACTATATATTGTAATAAACAGAATAGAGGAAATCAGCTCTAATATACATGTACATTATTTAGGTATGCATACTGGTCAGAGAGCCCGTTGTAACTCCGAGTCATCGGTAAACGAGTGCATTGCTAAGTGAGGAGAGGCTATATACTAGCCACTGTTTAAGAATTCACTAAGGGAAGAATTTATTTTTATGATTGTTTAGCTAATTTTTTATGATTTGTTGAGCAATGCTGGAATGGCAGGTGACGGAATACGTAGGACCCCTGTATCCGCAGGGATACAGGGATCTGGTGGATTAAAAAATTTTTGTGTTTTAACCAGTTTTCTGAAAGAATAATGAAAATCAAATTTTAATTTAGTTATTCAGGCATGTAACAGAGAAATCAGTTGTTTGAATGTGGAAAAATGTAAGTTCTAAATACAAAAAACAAAACACAAATATTAACCCTTAAATGGTCCAAATAGATCGATGTTCAAATCCGTAGTGCTCTTAAAGTAGATCTGTTTTTTTTACATATAGTGGACCCTCGACCAACGATGGCATCGATTAACGATAAATCTGACTAGCGATACATTTTAACTCAAAAATTTTGCCTCGACTAGTGCTAAAAAACTCGACCAACACTATTCGTTCCGTCTGAGACGCGTCCACTTCTGGCCAGTGTTTACAAGCCAGCCAGCCACCACGGTCGCTTCCAAGCATACACTCGGAACATTTCATATTATCACAGCCTTTTTAGTGATTGCACCTGCAAAATAAGTCACCATGGGCCCCAAGAAAGCTTCTAGTGCCAACCCTACAACAAAAAGGGTGAGAATTACTATGGATATGAAGAAAGAGATCATTGCTAAGTATGAAAGTGGAGTGCATGTCTCCGAGCTGGCCAGGTTGTACACAAAACCCCAGTCAACCATCACTACTATTGTGGACAAGAAAACGGCAATCAAGGAAGCTGTTCTTGCCAAAGGTGCAACTATGTTTTCGAAACTGAGATCGCAAGTACTCGATGTTGAGAGACTGTTATTGGTGTGGATAAACGAAAAACAGATAGCAGGAGATAGCATCTCTCAAGCGATCATATGTGAAAAGGCTAGGAAGTTGCATGACGATTTAATTAAAAAAATGCCAGCAACTAGTGGTGATGTGAGTGAATTTAAGGCCAGCAAAGGTTGGTTTGAGAGATTTAAAGGGAAGGGAAGTAACCCCGGAAAAGGACTTGCCACCTCAAGTCCTAATGGAAGGGGATTCCCCTTCTAAACACTAAGACCATCAACACTCTCCCCTCCTCCCATCCCATCAATCATCACCAGATCTTCAATAAAGGTAAGTGTCATGTAACTGTGCATGTCTTCTTCAGTTTGTGTGTATTAAAATTAATATTTCATGTGGTAAAAACAATTTTTTTTTCATACTTTGGGGTGTCCTACACGGGTTAATTTGATTTCCATTATTTCTTATGGGGAAAATTAACTTGACTAACGATAATTTTGACTAACGATGAGCTCTCAGGAACGGATTAATAGTGTTAGTCGAGGGTCCACTGTATTTTCAAATATAACAAAAAAAAAAAGTAGATAAAAGTTTTTTACACATTTTCAAATGTAAAAAAAAAAATGATTATGTACTTTTTTTACATACTTTCAGGTGTTGAAAAAAACGTATACATGTATATACGTTTGGACCATTTAAGGGTTAAGAATTCTTCTCTGTGTTTAGGTACTTAAAGACAGAATTACATCAAGTGGAAAGAACGGGACACTGTCGAGCGAGGAGACATCTCAGGCATTGCAAAAACAGACATCAAATTTTCCAAACGGCATTCCTGAGTGTGGTGCTGACGCTCTCAGGTTTACCCTCTGCTCCTACAATTTTAAAAGTGAGTACAATTATTGTTGTATAATTAGTACAGAGTTGTACATTCAGTGCATTATATGTAACTGTTGTACTCCATGGGGAAGTGGAGAAATATCCTGTAAGCCATGTGCAACTAGAAGGTCAGAAGCAAGGGTCTAGGAATTCCTGTATAAGTTACTAAACGTAAAAAGAAGATATACAGTGGACCCCCGGTTAACGATATTTTTTCATTCCAGAAGTATGTTCAGGTGCCAGTACTGACCAAATTTGTTCCCATAAGGAATATTGTGAAGTAAATTAGCCCATTTCAGACCCCCAAACATACACGTACAAACGCACTTACATAAATACACTTACATAATTGGTCGCATTGGGAGGTGATCGTTAAGCGGGGGTCCACTGTACTTCACGTTTTTTTCTTTATTGGGTGACTCTGCCTCGGTGGAAAGCAGCTGATATGTAAATAAAAAGATACAACTGTTGTATAATACATCTGTTAATTGTTCTGGTGATCATTCCCCTGCATGACTCAGTCTTAGGTTAGGCATCCCAGTCTTAGGTTAGGCATCCCAGTCTTAGGTTAGGAATCCCAGTCTTAGGTTAGGCATCCCAGTCTTAGGTTAGGCATCCCAGTCTTAGGTTAGGCATCCCAGTCTTAGCTTAGGCATCCCAGTCTTAGGTTAGGCATCCCAGTCTTAGGTTAGGCATCCCAGTCTTAGGTTAGGCATCCCAGTCTTAGGTTAGGCATCCCAGTCTTAGGTTAGGCATCCCAGTCTTAGGTTAGGCATCCCAGTCTTAGGTTAGGCATCCCAGTCTTAGGTTAGGCATCCCAGTCTTAGGTTAGGCATCCCAGTCTTAGGTTAGGCATCCCAGTCTTAGGTTAGGCATCCCAGTCTTAGGTTAGGCATCCCAGTCTTAGGTTAGGCACCCCAGTCTTAGGTTAGGCATCCCAGTCTTAGGTTAGGCACCCCAGTCTTAGGTTAGGCATCCCAGTCTTAGGTTAGGCACCCCAGTCTTAGGTTAGGCACCCCAGTCTTAGGTTAGGCACCCCAGTCTTAGGTTAGGCACCCCAGTCTTAGGTTAGGCATCCCAGTCTTAGGTTAGGCACCCCAGTCTTAGGTTAGGCATCCCAGTGTTAGGTTAGGCACCCCAGTCTTAGGTTAGGCACCCCAGTCTTAGGTTAGGCACCCCAGTCTTAGGTTAGGCACCCCAGTCTTAGGTTAGGCACCCCAGTCTTAGGTATCACAGACTTAGGTTAGAAAGGAAATGTATTAGAGATGAGAACTATTAATAAATATAGAGGAAGTTAAAGATAAGGGTTTACTGAATGCAAGTAGAAATTTGTAAGATAAATGTGTCATCTTACATATGAACTGGAGTTTACCTGGAGAGAGTTCCGGGGGTCAACGCCCCCGTGGCCCGGTCTGTGACCAGGCCTCCTGGTGGATCAGAGCCTGATCAACCAGGCTGTTACTGCTGGCTGCACGCAAACCAACGTACGAGCCACAGTCCGGCTGGTCAGGAACCGACTTTAGGTGCTTGTCCAGTGCCAGCTTGAAGACTGCCAGGGGTCTATTGGTAATCCCCCTTATGTATGCTGGGAGGCAGTTGAACAGTCTCGGGCCCCTGACACTTAATGTATTGTCTCTTAACGTGCTAGTGACACCCCTGCTTTTCATTGGGGGGATGTTGCATCGTCTGCCAAGTCTTTTGCTTTCATTGTGAGTGATTTTCATGTGCAAGTTTGGTACTAGTCCCAAAAGGATTTTCCAGGTGTATATAATCATGTATCTCTCCCTCCTGCGTTCCAGGGAATACAGGTTCAGGAACCTCAAGCGCTCCCAGTAATTGAGGTGTTTTATCTCCGTTATGCGCGCTGTGAAGGTTCTCTGTACATTTTCTAGGTCAGCAATTTCACCTGCCTTGAAAGGTGCTGTTAGAGTGCAGTAATATTCCAGCCTAGATAGAACAAGTGACCTGAAGAGTGTCATCATGGGCTTGGCCTCCCTAGTTTTGAAGGTTCTCATTATCCATCCTGTCATTTTTCTAGCAGCTGCAATTGATACAATGTTATGGTCCTTGAAGGTGAGATCCTCCGACATGATCACTCCCAGGTCTTTGACGTTGGTGTTTTGCTCTATTTTGTGGCCAGAATTTGTTTTGTACTCTGATGAAGATTTAATTTCCTTGTGTTTACCATATCTGAGTAATTGAAATTTCTCATCGTTGAACTTCATATTGTTTTCTGCAGCCCATTGAAAGATTTGGTTGATTTCTGCCTGGAGCCTTGCAGTGTCTGCAATGTCTGCCTGGAGCTTTGCAGTGTCTGCAGTGTCTGCTTGGAGCTTTGCAGTGTCTGCAATGGAAGATACTGTCATGCAGATTCGGGTGTCATCTGCAAAGGAAGACACGGTGCTGTGGCTGACATCCTTGTCTATGTCGGATATGAGGATGAGGAACAAGATGGGAGCGAGTACTGTGCCTTGTGGAACAGAGCTTTTCACCATAGCTGCCTTGGAGCTCTGTTCCACAAGGCACAGTACTCGCTCCCATCTTGTTTCTCATCCTCATATCTGACATAGACAAGGATGTCAGCCACAGCACCGTGTCTTCCTTTGCAGATGACACCCGAATCTGCATGACAGTGTCTTCCATTGCAGACACTGCAAGGCTCCAGGCGAACATCAACCAAATCTTTCAGTGGGCTGCAGAAAACAATATGAAGTTCAACGATGAGAAATTTCAATTACTCAACTAGACAAAGAAGAGGACTAGCAATCCTGCCAGAGTGCAAAACATTTAACAGGCTTTTCTTTTACACTGGTATAACAGGATCAACTTAGGGAATGGTCAGGGCTTGAAACCATACCAAAGTTGTCCTAAGAATAGCAAGCCAGTGATCAGAGTCCTGTCCTGCTAGTTTTAGGACTGGCTTGCCATGGGTTTGAACCTTGCTTCTTCCCTGAGGTTTTTTCCCTGTGTCATGATTTGTGTCATGGTTGAGGATAAGACAATGTGCAGCATAAGTTTTGGAATTGTTTCTTTGATTTTAGTTAAGCTAATGAATACTGTGTTGTCATTATGTCGTGTCTCACATTATGTCGTGTCCCACATTATGTCGTGTCTCAGTCTCCTTACGCTGTTTGTTTCTGTGATTGCTTTTTAAATACACCGAGGTAAGAAGAGTTGAAAAATGAGGAAATGCATTCACCATTATTCATTTAATGGCTGTCTTGTCAGAAGTGCACTGACATTACAATTCAAATGACCCTCTGAACTAGTGACTATAGTTAATTGTCCAAGTTGAACCAAAATATGATTATAAATCTCAATCATCTATGTGCAGGTTATTTGTACATAAGTACCCACATTATAAACTGAAAGTGGAAATATATTTGCATACCCTTATTTCAGTATTTTGTTACAGATAAACTTCTAAGTGTTGATGTTAATAGTATAGAACAAAACAAGTTTCTGGGCAACAAAATCTGGCAGACTGTCCGCTTCCTGTTAGCCTCGATGGAGAAAGTGCCAAATGGCATTGAATGTGCTTCACGCGTGAACATAACGCAAAGGTTTGTTGTATAAATTATAATTTATTTGTATTAAGGATAGTTTTAAATAGCGTATGGATTTTGCTTATGTTTATGTTTTAAAAAATAATTTATATCTTCTGTTGACTACCTCGGAACACAATCATCTGACTTTAGACGGACGCTACTACCATCACAATCATTGTGTAACCATTTAACAAAAACTGCCATCATTGCACAATCATTGTGTGACCTTTCACATTACGGTACAATTATCTCACAGTCATCATGTGACCTTTTCACAATCAGTACAGTCATCACAGTCATCAAGCGACCATAACACAACCTTTACAGAAACAGCACAAGCATCATGCCATCATACCTCCAGTCATGTCTCCACCACCCAGACACTATCGTTCACTTCTCAGTTCAGTTTTATTCATGTCAACACCACCCAGTAAATACTATCAGTCATGTTTCATTTCAGTTTCATTCATGTCTACACCACCCAGTAAGCACTAACACTCACGTTTCAGTTTGGTTTCACCTCCTTCCGCCTCTATTTCTCATTTTTTTCCACCATAGCAAGATCCCTCCATTGGGCTCTTGCCAACTGAAGCATCAGTTTGCAACCAGCAATACTAGTGTCAACATCTCTCACTTGCTCGGTGCTTGATGGATACCTTTACAGCCGTGTCTCATTTTTCTCAGTCTCTTGTCCTGCCTGATCAAGATGGTAGTGGCTGTTAAAGCCTGCAGGTTTCTAGCAGCAACAGCCTGGTTGATCAGGCTGTCAAGAAAGATCTCTGGCCTCAGGTGAGACAGCAGGGCTAGGTCACAGATATGTTACAGGATACACAAATGATCCAAGTCATCCCAAAACGTCATCATAAGCTCGTCTCTATTATGTGCGGATTATGTGTGTATTGTTCCAGTCACGTTATTGTATCTTTTTGTTCTTTATGTCACAAGATGTGTGGTAGGTCATCCTGCACATTGAGTACGTCTGTGAGCAATAACTGCACATTGTGTTAGGCTCACTAGCTCAGTGATAACTGAAAGACTTTTCTGAGCGTTTCTTCAGAAAGACTAAAAATTTTGCATAACGGGAAATTCTACAATTGGAAGGTTCGAATGCAGTTTACTGAGAGTCATCTGGGAAAGACTTACCTTGTCGTAATAGATCTTCCATTGTAGTTTACTGAGAGTCATCTGAGAAAGATTTTCCTTGGTGTAAAATATCTTCCTCTGTTGGCATTTTAGTGCTTATCAGAGAGGTGGAAAGAGGTGAAATGGCATGAAAACCCACAAGACAATTCTTATATGGGTATATAGAAGTCAGTGGAAGTGTTTTAGTGATATAACGGACTTGAGTCCTGGAAATGGGAAGTACAATGCCTGCACTTTAAAGGAGGGGTTTGGGATATTGGCAGTTTGGAGGTATATGATGTGTATCTTTATATGTATATGCTTCTAAACTGTTGTATTCTGAGCACCTCTGCAAAAACAGTGATAATGTGTGAGTGTGGTGAAAGTGTTGAATGATGATGAAAGCATTTTCCTTTTGGGGATTTTCTTTCTTGGGTCACCCTGCCTCGGTGGGAGACGGCCGACTTGTTGAAAAAAAAAAAAAACTCCATTCATAATGGGTGATCAGACTCTGGCAAGAAATGCATTTTTTATTTGATAAAATTATATATTATAATATGCTGTATTTTTTTTCCACTGACCAGGCCATATCCAACTGAGGCAGGGTGACCTAAAAAGAAAAACAAAATTTTTTCTTTTTAAATTTAGTAATGTATACACGTCCAGTGCAAAAAATCTATACACGAGCTTTTGGTGCATACATTTCGCTCGCATTTCCACCATAGGAAAAATGTTCCCCACCATGCCACACTTCAGTGCTCTGCTAGAGCTTGGTGAAGAAGGAGGCCTGCTACGTTGTTCCTCAGTGCCCCTTTTTCACGAACTTTGCCACACTATCTCTGCTCCAAGTGGTCAGAATGGGTCAAACTAAACTTTCAATTGCAGAGAAGACCCATGCACTCACCATATTAGAGCAAGACATGTCTGTGATACACATAGCCGCAGACCTGAAGGTAACGAGGATGGCAGTTTACAACCTCAAGAAAGCAGCTGCCTCACTCCCACCTGGCTCTTTCTTGAGGTCTGCAGGTGTTATGGCAGGATCTGATAACACTTCCTTCTTCAGGATCTTGTCTGTGCAAAGAGAAGTCTTTTTGGGTGATACAGTGCCAGGTGGGAGTGAGGCAGCTACTTTCTTGAGGTTGTAAATTGCCATCCTCATAACCTTCAGGTCTGCGGCTATGCATATCACAGACATGCCTTGCTCTAATAGGGTGAGTGCGTGGGTCTTCTCTGCAATTGAAAGTTTAGTTTAACCCATTCTGACCACTTAGAGTGGAGATATAGCATGGCAAAGTTAGTGGTCGAGTGAGAAAGGGGTACTGAGGAACAACGTAGCAAGCCTCCTTCCTCACCGAGCTGTGGCAGAGCACTGAAGCGTGGCATGGTGGGGAACAATGGAGCAAAACGAGCTCTAGTACACTAAGTCATCACACTTTTCCTATGGCGGAAACGTGAGTGAAATGTATGCACCAAAATCTCGAGTATAGATTTCTTTTGCATTGGACATATCTTTCTTTCTAGGTAGTAGGTTGGTAGACAGCAACCACCCAGGGAGGTACTACCGTCCTGCCAAGTGAGTGTAAAACTGAAGCCTGTAATTGTTTTACACGATGGTAGGATTGCTGGTGTCTTTTTTTTTTCTGTCTCATACACATGCAAGATTTCAGGTACGTCTTGCTACTTCTACTTACACTTAGGTCACACTACACATACATGTACAAGCATATATATACACACCCCTTTGGGTTTTCTTCTATTTTCTTTCTAGTTCTTGTTCTTGTTTATTTCCTCTTACCTCCATGGGGAAGTGGAACAGAATTCTTCCTCCGTAAGCCATGCGTGTTGTAAGTTGTAAAATGCCGGGAGCAAGGGGCTAGTAACCCCTTCTCCTGTATATATTACTAAATGTAAAAGGAGAAACTTTCGTTTTTCCTTTTGGGCCACCCCGCCTCGGTGGGATATGGCCGGTGTGTTGAAAGAAAGAAGATATCTTTCTTTCTTTCTTTCAACAAACTGGCCATATCCCACCAAAGCAGGGTGTCCCAAAAAGAAAAACAAAAGTTTCTCTTTTTAAGTCTAGTAATGTATACAAGAGAAGGGGTTACTAGCCCTTTGCTCCTGGCATTTTAGTTGCCTGGCTTATGGAGGAAGAATTCTGTTTCACTTCCCCATGGAATATGCTGTATATTGATAGATACATACTAATATTTGTGTTTTTTACTGAAATAATTCATAAATGGTACCGTATTTTGAAATTTATTTTCAGGAGTGCTGATCTTAGTACGATGGACAAGTGGATTATGAGTCATTTGGCACAATTAGTGCACAATGCCAATCAAAATTTTGTCACCTATGACCTTCATCACATCACGTTGGGCTTTGTTACCTTCTGGCAGAATCATTTGTGTGACACTTATCTGGTAAGCGGGTATATGTCCAAGTCAAATTTTGTATTTTTGAACACCTAAACTCGCAAGGGTTATGTGCCCAGCGGTCAAGTGAATCTGGAATTAGTGAATACTGTCCCTAAGTGTCAGACACATTGAAAACCTTCTGTATTGTGTATTTATTATTATTAACACACTGGCCGATTCCCACCAAGGCAGGGTGGCCCGAAAAAGGAAAACTTTCACCATCATTCACTCCATCACTGTCTTGCCAGAAGGGTGCTTTACACTACAGTTTTTAAACTGCAACATTAACACCCCTCCTTCAATATCATAATATTTTTTTTTTTTTTTTTTTTTTTTTTTCAACAAGTCGGCCGTCTCCCACCGAGGCAGGGTGACCCAAAAAAGAAAGAAAATCCCCAAAAAGAAAATACTTTCATCATCATTCAACACTTTCACCACACTCGCACATTATCACTGTTTTTGCAGAGGTGCTCAGAATACAACAGTCTAGAAGCATAAACATATAAAGATACACAACATATCCCTCCAAACTGCCAATATCCCAAACCCCTCCTTTAAAGTGCAGGCATTGTACTTCCCATTTCCAGGACTCAAGTCCGACTATATGAAAATAACCGGTTTCCCTGAATCCCTTCACTAAATATTACCCTGCTCACACTCCAACAGATCGTCAGGTCCCAAGTACCATTCGTCTCCATTCACTCCTATCTAACACGCTCACGCACGCTTGCTGGAAGTCCAAGCCCCTTACCCACAAAACCTCCTTTACCCCCTCTCTCCAACCCTTTCGAGGACGACCCCTACCCCGCCTTCCTTCCCCTATAGATTTATATGCTTTCCATGTCATTCTACTGTGATCCATTCTCTCTAAATGACCAAACCACCTCAACAACCCCTCTTCTGCCCTCTGACTAATACTTTTATTAACTCCACACCTTCTCCTAATTTCCACACTCCGAATTTTCTGCATAATATTTACACCACACATTGCCCTTAAACAGGACATCTCCGCTGCCTCCAACCGTCTCCTCGCTGCTGCATTTACCACCCAAGCTTCACACCCATATAAGAGTGTTGGTACTACTATACTTTCATACATTCCCTTCTTTGCCTCCATAGATAACGTTTTTTGACTCCACATATACCTCAACGCACCACTCACCTTTTTTCCCTCATCAATTCTATGATTAACCTCATCCTTCATAAATCCATCCGCCGACACGTCAACTCCCAAGTATCTGAAAACATTCACTTCTTCCATACTCCTCCTCCCCAATTTGATATCCAATTTTTCTTTATCTAAATCATTTGACACCCTCATCACCTTACTCTTTTCTATGTTCACTTTCAACTTTCTACCTTTACACACATTCCCAAACTCATCCACTAACCTTTGCAATTTTTCTTTAGAATCTCCCATAAGCACAGTATCATCAGCAAAAAGTAACTGTGTCAATTCCCATTTTGAATTTGATTCCCCATAATTTAATCCCACCCCTCTCCCAAACACCCTAGCATTTACTTCCTTTACAACCCCATCTATAAATATATTAAACAACCATGGTGACATTACACATCCCTGTCTAAGACCTACTTTTTACCGGGAAGTAGTCTCCCTCTCTTCTACACACCCTAACCTGAGCCTCACTATCCTCATAAAAACTCTTTACAGCATTTAATAACTTACCACCTATTCCATATACTTGCAACATCTGCCACATTGCTCCTCTATCCACTCTATCATATGCCTTTTCTAAATCCATAAATGCAATAAAAACTTCCCTATCTTTATCTAAATACTGTTCACATATATGCTTCAATGTAAACACCTGATCTACACATCCCCTACCCACTCTAAAACCTCCTTGCTCATCCGCAATCCTACATTCTGTCTTACCTCTAATTCTTTCAATTATAACCCTACCGTACACTTTTCCTGGTATACTCAGTAAGCTTATTCCTCTATAATTTTTACAGTCTCTTTTGTCCCCTTTCCCTTTATATAAAGGGACTATACATGCTCTCTGCCAATCCCTAGGTACCTTCCCCTCTTTCATACATTTATTAAACAAAAGTACCAACCACTCCAACACTATATCCCCCCCTGCTTTTAACATTTCTGTCATGATCCCATCAGTTCCAGCTGCTTTACCCCCTTTCATTTTACGTAATGCCTCACGTACCTCCCCCACACTTACATTCTGCTCTTCTTCACTCCTAAAAGATGGTATACCTCCCTGACCAGTGCATGAAATTACTGCCTCTGTTTCTTCCTTAACATTTAAAAGTTCCTCAAAATATTCTCGCCATCTACCCAATACCTCCATCTCCCCATCTACTAACTCCCCTACTCTGTTTTTAACTGACAAATCCATATTTTCCCTAGGCTTTCTTAACTTGTTTAACTCACTCCAAAATTTTTCTTATTTTCATTAAAATTTCTTGACAGTGCCTCTCCCACTCTATCATCTGCTCTCCTTTTGCACTCTCTCACCACTCTCTTTACCTTTCTTTTACTCTCCATATACTCTGCTCTTCTTATAACACTTCTGCTTTGTAAAAACCTCTCATAAGCTACCTTTTTCTCTTTTATCACACCCTTTACTTCATCATTCCACCAATCACTCCTCTTTCCTCCTGCCCCCACCCTCCTATAACCACAAACTTCTGCCCCACATTCTAATACTGCATTTTTAAAACTATTCCAACCCTCTTCAACCCCCCACTACTCATCTTTGCACTAGCCCACCTTTCTGCCAATAGTCGCTTATATCTCACCCGAACTTCCTCCTCCCTTAGTTTATACACTTTCACCTCCCTCTTACTTGTTGTTGCCACCTTCCTCTTTTCCCATCTACCTCTTACTCTAACTGTAGCTACAACTAAATAATGATCCGATATATCAGTTGCCCCTCTATAAACATGTACATCCTGGAGCCTACCCATCAACCTTTTATCCACCAATACATAATCTAATAAACTACTTTCATTACGTGCTACATCATACCTTGTATATTTATTTATCCTCTTTTTCATAAAATATGTATTACTTATTACCAAATTTCTTTCTACACATAGCTCAATTAAAGGCTCCCCATTTACATTTACCCCTGGCACCCCAAATTTACCTACTACTCCCTCCATAACATTTTTACCCACTTTAGCATTAAAATCCCCAACCACCATTACTCTCACACTTGATTCAAAACTCCCCACGCATTCACTCAACATTTCCCAAAATCTCTCTCTCTCCTCTACACTTCTCTCTTCTCCAGGTGCATACACGCTTATTATAACCCACTTTTCACATCCAATCTTTATTTTACTCCACATAATCCTTGAATTAATACATTTATAGTCCCTCTTTTCCTGCCATAGCTTATCCTTCAACATTATTGCTACTCCTTCTTTAGCTCTAACTCTATTTGAAACCCCTGACCTAATCCCATTTATTCCTCTCCACTGAAACTCTCCCACCCCCTTCAGCTTTGTTTCACTTAAAGCCAGGACATCCAGCTTCTTCTCATTCATAACATCCACAATCATCTCTTTCTTATCATCTGCACAACATCCACGCACATTCAGACTTCCCACTTTGACAATTTTCTTCTTCTTATTCTTTTTAGTAATCTTTACAGGAAAAGGGGTTACTAGCCCATTGTTCCCGGCATTTTAGTTGACTTTTACAACACGCATGGCTTACGGAGGAAAGATTCTTATTCCACTTCCCCATTATTATATATTATTATATATTATTATATATTATATATTATTATATATTATTATATATTATATATTATATATTATTTATTATATTATATTATATATTATATATTATATATTATTATTATTTATATATATTTATATATTATATTATTATATATTATTATATATTATTATATCCAATTCAGGAGGTCCCAATGTGTTTGTAAGTGAAGGATTTACTGTAGTACAAAATTCTATTGGCATAATAAATTTGGTCATATTTTGATTTTTTCAGAAGTCATAACTCTTCAGATATCACCGTGGTTAATACTGGCATTCATAAAGAATATCCAGAAAGAAATGAGCTTTGAATATGGGAAAACCTATTGAAGACAATTTAATTAAATTCTATGATTAGTTTTCATTTGATGAGTTGTGTGCCAGACCAGAATAGATGAGCACCAATAACAGTTTTGCAAATAATTGATGCAATTTACAAGCTGCTCTTAACCCTTTCATTGTCCAGTTATCCGAAATGAAACTCGCTTCCAGTGTCCAAACATTCCCCCTTCTCTAAAAAAAAAAAAAAATCTTCTGAAATGACAGAGAATCTTTTTCCAAAGTTAATAACACCAAAAGTATGAAATTTGATGCAAAGCTTACAGAATTACGCTGATGCAAAGTTAGTGGTTCTGGCGCAATTTATGTACTAGTGATTTCCCCCACCTTGAGCCCTATTTTAGGCCAAGTCCATTGTTCCAGTTGACCAAATTTTTAGCTATTTTGCTAGTATGCCTTCTATTCCATCAAGTGAGCACAAGAAACTACCCACTCAGCTCTTTCAACTACCAGATAAAGTAATCAGAATTCAGTAATTTGGCAAGTTTCTCACAAAATTAAAAAAAAATGCCTACTTAAAAATAGAGTCCAATAATAAAAAAATGTAAACATTCCTGGTACTAAAACATTAGTCACCCAGGTGTCTCTTGTATTTCACTTTCTTTTCATTTTGAATTCTTACTCACACAAAAATAGATTTACTCTATTTCTTGGATAATAATATATTACCAGGGAAGATTGTTCATGGTTTACACTTTACAGCATCCCAATAATTGAATCAGCCCTATTAAAAACCCATGAAACAAACTGGGGAGCCTTACCCGTCTCGAATATCAACAAAAATTGAATATTTCCACTACTTTGAGCTCAGTTTCAAGCTACTACTAGTCCAGAAACCAATTAAAATTATCTCTGTTTTAGTAATATATTTTCCATTTTATCAAATGATACCAAGAAATAGCAAATAAAACCATGAAAGACATTCAAAAATACACCGCAAATTCACTTTTTTAAGCCATACGCATGGTCACAGTTTTGTTTTTCCCATCAGGCACTGCGAGCAAGGATTTTTTTTATATGGTGCTCTGGTGGAGGGCTCTGGTGGCCTGGTGGTTAACGCTCTCGCTTCACACGTCGAGGGCCCGGGTTCGATTCCCAGCCAGAGTAGAAACATTGGACGTGTTTCTTTCCACCTGTTGTCTATGTTCCCCATCAGTAAAATGGGTACCTGGGTGTTAGTCGACTGGTGTGGGTCGCATCCTGGGTGTTAGTCGACTGGTGTGGGTCGCATCCTGGGTGTTAGTCGACTGGTGTGGGTCGCATCCTGGGACACTGACCTAAGGAGGCCTGGTCACAGACCGGGCCGCGGGGGCGTTGACCCCCGGAACTCTCTCCAGATAAACTCTCCAGATAAACACTCACCACACAGACTCATTCTCTTATATCTAGGCCAAAATTTACCACTCATCTGAGTAAACTGAGTGCATCACATAGTACTACATAACAGACTCTAAGCTCAAAGCTGTGATACTACATAAGTTTATCCAGGTATACCCAAATACAGTTACATAGATTATGTTGTGTTCTGAGCACCTCTGCAAAAACAGTGATTATGTGTGAGTGTGGTGAAAGTGTTAAATGATGATGAAAGTATTTTCTTTTTGGGGATTTTCTTTCTTTTTGGGTCACCCTGCCTTGGTGGGAGATGGTTGACTTGTTGAAAAAAAAAAATGTGTAGAGAACCTGGGATAACCCAAAAATAAGTCACAGTGACGTATTTCCATTGGGATGGACCCTGAAAAAGTTAACAAATAATAGTACTCATGTAATTTCTTATTAAGATTAATTCAGCTAAGTCTTGAAGCTGCAAATGTCTTAGTGTGTGAAATCTGTCTCTCGTGTGCGAGAGAAAATAAGTTTGTAATGTGGAATAGAAAATGATGATAATTTACAGTTTTTCAGATTATTTTCTCAATACCACTAAAATTGAAATAATTTGACTAAAAATCCATTACAGTGGACCCCTGGCTTACGATATTATTTCATTCCAGAAGAATGTTCAGGTGCCAGTACTGACCGAATTTGTTCCCATAAGGAATATTGTGAGTTAGATTAGTCCATTTCAGACCCCCAAACATACACATACAAATGCACTTACATAAATACACTTACATAATTGGTCTCATTGGGAGCTGATCATAAAGCGGGGGTCCACTGTATTTTACAGTGAGAATGTTAAATCTCTTTGATTTTATTGTAATTTTCATATGATTTTTTAAAAATATGTGAAACATATTCAGGGAAACTGGTTGGCCAGACTTGAGTCCTGGAGGTGGGAAGTACAATGCTTGCACTATAAAGGAAAGGTTCAGGATATTGGCTGTTTGGAGGGACATCTAAACTGTTGTATCTGAGCACCTCTGCTAAGACAGTGATTATGAATGAATGATGGTGAAAGTGTTGAATGATGATGAATGTTTTTTCTTTCTTTTTGGATTTTTCTTTCTTTTTGGGTGACCCTGCCTTGGTGGGAAACGGCCAATGTGTTAAAAAAAAAAAATCTGAAACATTAAAAAAATAAAAAAGTGCTAAAATGCTAAATTATTGAACTTCCCAGGAAAGCATCAAACCAGTTTTAAATGAGGGCTCGTGTGAAGCCAGATCATCAGCACTATCGACACTGTGGACGTGTGTGGATGTCGGACTACACATCCTCTCCCCCTTCATGCCTTTTTTAACCGAGGAACTCTACCAGAGACTTCCAAGATATGCTAAAAAGTGTGAGAGCATCATGCAGTGTGATCATCCCAAGACAGAAGAGGTAAATTTGTTAAAATTCATTGAAACACTGCATAAAATATGGAATCCATTGTACCTACGCTGTGCACTTGAGCACCGTATTAATTATTATTACTATTGCAAACAAAATTAATGTAAAACATGCAAGAGTCATACAGCACTGCAGGGCAGGATGTGCTGAAGATGAAATATTTAAAGATCAGAGACTAGTGAGGGTAAGGAGTATGCAAAAGGCAGTCAGTTAGTGGTGTACATAATACACTAATAACTAGTGGTGGCTCGTCCATAGGAGCTGCAGAGCTGCAGTCTTCCCAGATGCTCACTGTCAAACATATGACTTCATCAACCTTCTGCTAAAATAATTTGCAGTTGACAAATATATTACAGGGCAAATCTGTTGTATGTTGTTTTCAATGTATTTATAAGCGAATTTTTAATTTTTTTGTTGAGATAAAAAATGATTAAATATGGAAGTTTGATGCGGTACGATAGTATAGGTATTACTGGCGCTACGAGCCACCACTGCTAATAACCCACACATTGGAGACAGAAATGTTTGACGATGTTTCAGTCCGACTCGGACTGAAACATCGTGAGAGAGGGAGAGAGGGGGTCTGTGTCGAAGGTGGATTACATTTCTAAGTGTACCCTACACCACTACAATCTCCTCCTCGTTACTTGTACTCTCTCTTTCAGCAGTGACTTATACCTTCCACCACCTGTCTTCTTTATTTTATTTACTTTCGCTTCTCATTATTATCTGTATCAAGATTCTATGGTGTTGCTGTATCAGACAAGTATATTTAGATCAAAGGAACATAATACTGACAAATTGATGAATAAGACACATGTGCAACACCTGGGTGTCTTTATTGATGAATAAGACACATGTGCAACACCTGGGTGTCTTTATTGATGAATAAGACACATGTGCAACACCTGGGTGTCTTTATTGATGAATAAGACACATGTGCAACACCTGGGTGTCTTTATTGATGAATAAGACACATGTGCAACACCTGGGTGTCTTTATTGATGAATAAGACACATGTGCAACACCTGGGTGTCTTAATTGGTGAATAAGACACATGTGCAACACCTGGGTGTCTTTATTGATGAATAAGACACATGTGCAACACCTGGGTGACTTTATTGATGAATAAGACACATGTGCAACACCTGGGTGTCTTTATTGATGAATAAGACACATGTGCAACACCTGGGTGTCTTTATTGATGAATAAGACACATGTGCAACACCTGGGTGTCTTTATTGATGAATAAGACACATGTGCAACACCTGATGTGTCTTTATTGATGAATAAGACACATGTGCAACTCCTGGGTGTCTTTATTGATGAATAAGACACATGTACAACACCTGGGTGTCTTTATTGATGAATAAGACACATGTACAACACCTGGGTGACTTTATTGATGAATAAGACACATGTGCAACACCTGGGTGTCTTTATTGATGAATAAGACACATGTGCAACACCTGGGTGACTTTATTGATGAATAAGATACATGTGCAACACCTGGGTGACTTTATTGATGAATAAGACACATGTGCAACACCTGGGTGTCTTTATTGATGAATAAGACACATGTGCAACACCTGGGTGTCTTTATTGATGAATAAGACACATGTGCAACACCTGGGTGTCTTTATTGATGAATAAGACACATGTGCAACACCTGGGTGTCTTTATTGATGAATAAGACACATGTGCAACACCTGGGTGTCTTTATTGATGAATAAGACACATGTACAACACCTGGGTGACTTTATTGATGAATAAGACACATGTACAACACCTGGGTGTCTTTATTGATGAATAAGACACATGTGCAACACCTGGGTGACTTTATTGATGAATAAGATACATGTGCAACACCTGGGTGACTTTATTGATGAATAAGACACATGTGCAACACCTGGGTGTCTTTATTGATGAATAAGACACATGTACAACACCTGGGTGTCTTTATTGATGAATAAGACACATGTGCAACACCTGGGTGTCTTTATTGATGAATAAGACACATGTGCAACACCTGGGTGTCTTTATTGATGAATAAGACACATGTGCAACACCTGGGTGTCTTTATTGATGAATAAGACACATGTGCAACACCTGGGTGTCTTTATTGATGAATAAGACACATGTGCAACACCTGGGTGTCTTTATTGATGAATAAGACACATGTGCAACACCTGGGTGTCTTTATTGATGAATAAGACACATGTGCAACACCTGGGTGTCTTTATTGATGAATAAGACACATGTGCAACACCTGGGTGACTTTATTGATGAATAAGACACATGTGCAACACCTGGGTGTCTTTATTGATGAATAAGACACATGTACAACACCTGGGTGTCTTTATTGATGAATAAGACACATGTACAACACCTGGGTGTCTTTATTGATGAATAAGACACATGTACAACACCTGGGTGTCTTTATTGATGAATAAGACACATGTGCAACACCTGGGTGTCTTTATTGATGAATAAGACACATGTGCAACACCTGGGTGTCTTTATTGATGAATAAGACACATGTACAACACCTGGGTGTCTTTATTGATGAATAAGACACATGTACAACACCTGGGTGTCTTTATTGATGAATAAGACACATGTACAACACCTGGGTGTCTTTATTGATGAATAAGACACATGTGCAACACCTGGGTGTCTTTATTGATGAATAAGACACATGTGCAACACCTGGGTGACTTTATTGATGAATAAGACACATGTGCAACACCTGGGTGTCTTTATTGATGAATAAGACACATGTGCAACACCTGGGTGTCTTTATTGATGAATAAGACACATGTACAACACCTGGGTGACTTTATTGATGAATAAGACACATATACAACATCTGGGTGTCTTTATTGATGAATAAGACACATGTACAACACCTGGGTGTCTTTATTGATGAATAAGACACATGTACAACACCTGGGTGTCTTTATTGATGAATAAGACACATGTACAACACCTGGGTGACTTTATTGATGAATAAGACACCTGTACAACACCTGGGTGTCTTTATTGATGAATAAGACACCTGTACAACACCTGGGTGTCTTTATTGATGAATAAGACACATGTGCAACACCTGGGTGTCTTTATTGATGAATAAGACACATGTACAACACCTGGGTGACTTTATTGATGAATAAGACACATGTACAACACCTGGGTGACTTTATTGATGAATAAGGCACATGTACAACACCTGGGTGTCTTTATTGATGAATAAGACATGTACAACACCTGGGTGACTTTATTGATGAATAAGACACATGTACAACACCTGGGTGTCTTTATTGATGAATAAGACACATGTGCAACACCTGGGTGTCTTTATTGATGAATAAGACACATGTGCAACACCTGGGTGTCTTTATTGATGAATAAGACACATGTGCAACACCTGGGTGACTTTATTGGTGAATAAGACACATGTGCAACACCTGGGTGTCTTTATTGATGAATAAGACACATGTACAACACCTGGGTGACTTTATTGGTGAATAAGACACATGTGCAACACCTGGGTGTCTTTATTGATGAATAAGACACATGTGCAACACCTGGGTGTCTTTATTGATGAATAAGACACATGTGCAACACCTGGGTGTCTTTATTGATGAATAAGACACATGTACAACACCTGGGTGACTTTATTGGTGAATAAGACACATGTGCAACACCTGGGTGACTTCATTGATGAATAAGACACATGTACAACACCTGGGTGTCTTTATTGATGAATAAGACACATGTACAACACCTGGGTGACTTTATTGATGAATAAGACACATGTACAACACCTGGGTGTCTTTATTGATGAATAAGACACATGTGCAACACCTGGGTGTCTTTACTGAGAGATGTTTCTTGATAAAGGTCCTGGTAGGCAACATCTGGTTATCTTTATTAAGAGATGTCTTTTAATAAAGGCCTTGGTGGACAAAATGCCTCAAGTAAAGATACCAATGTGTTGTACATGCATTTTATTCATTAATTGTTGGCATTATGTAACTTTAATCTAAAGATATTTGCATGACACAGCTACACCATGGAATCTTGCCAGAGAATACACGGTGCTACTACTTGACAGTTAAATCTCTGGCTCACCGTGTAAGCATGACCTACTTCAACTAGTAGACCCAGTCTATGTATGACAACTACATTGTTCTACCCCTTCCACTGGTGCCTCTGTAAAAGGCTCCATTCCCATGTTTCTATTTCATTAGACTCGGTCTACATATGATGTCTACAACTGCTACATTGCTTTACTTCTTCCACTGGTGCTACTATAAAAGGCTGTGTTCCCATGTCTTTTTCATTGGACCCAGTCTATGTATAACATTGTCTACAACTGCTGCATCACTACTCCTTCCACTGGCACCACTATAAAAAGCTCTATTCCCATGTCTCTGTATTTCATTGCCGAATCCCTGGCAAGTAAAAAGTCTAAATAAAAATACTCGGGTGTTGCACATGTTTGTTATTCATCATTTTGTTGGTACAATATTATATACAGCATTTTTTATTTAAATTTAGCTAGTACTATTCAGCATCAATGAAATATGTATATCTTCAACATTCAGATTGCTTTTCTTAGTTAAAGCAAAAATTAAAATACAGTGGTCCCTCGATAATTGTAGGGCTCGAGAGTCATAATTTTTGGAAATCGTAGTGATATTTTCGTAAAAACATAGGCTCGCTAATCGTAGATTGACTCGCGAATAGTAGTTCGTTCGGGACGCGTACGCACGCTATGAGCCGGGGCGGCCTCCCTTCCCAGCCAGTGTGGCATTGTTTACCAGTGAGCGACGGTCCCCTCGCTTGCTCCTACGAAATACTTCATAATATTCCATTCATTTTAGTGCTTGCAAGTACTAAATAAGCTACCATGGCTCCCAAGAAAGTTCCTAGTGCCAAGCCTTTGGTAAAGGTGAGAAATATGATTGAATTTAAGAAAAACATCATTGAACAATATGAAAGTGGCGTAAGTGTAGCTGAACTGGCCAGGATGTATAACAAACCCTATACAACCATATGTTCCATCATGGCCAGAAAAAAGGAAATCAAGGACACTGTTGTTGCAGAGGGAGTAACTATGCTGACAAAAATGAGATCACCAGTACTCGAAGAGGTTGAGAAGTTATTGTTGGTGTGGATAAATGAAAAACAATTAGCAGGAGATAGTACATGTATTATGATGTCAATTATTTGTGAAAAGGCTAGGCAGTTGCACGACAATCTGGTATAGAAATTGCCCTCAACTAGTGGTGATGTGAGTGAATTTAAGGCCAGCAAAGGTTGGTTTGAGAGATTTAAGAACCATAGTGGCATACACAGTGTGGTAAGGCATGGTGAGGCTGCCAGTTCAGACCACAAGGCGGCTGAAAAATATGTGCATGAATTCCAAGAGTACATAGAGGCTGAAGGACTGAAACCTGAACAAGTGTTCAATTGTGACGAAACAGACCTCTTTTGGAAGAAAATGCCAAAGAGGACCTACATTACACAGGAGGAAAAGGCACTGCCATGAGACAAGCCTATGAAAGACAGGCTGACACTCATGTTCTGTGCTAATGCTAGTGGGGATTTCAAAGTGAAGCCATTACTAGTGTACCATTCTGAAAATCCCAGAGTGTTCAGGAAAAACAATGTTATGAAGAGTAAATTGTGTGTGTTTTGGAAATCTAATAGTAAGGCATGGGTCACGAGGGAAATTTTCGTCGAGTGGTTCAATGAAGTGTTTGGCCCTAGTGTGAAGAATTACCTCCTGGAAAAGAAATTGGATCTCAAGTGCCTCCTAGTAATGGACAATGCACCTGCTAATCCTCCAAACTTGGATGACCTAATTTTCGAGAAGTTTGGGTTCATCACAGTAAAGTTCTTGCCTCCGAATACCACTCCTCTCCTCCTGCCCATGGACCAGCAGGTCATTGCAAACTTTAAAAAACTCTATACCAAAGCAATGTTTCAAAGGTGCTTGAATGTGACCTTAGACACTCACTTGACATTAAGAGATTTTTGGAGAGAACACTTCAGCATCCTCCATTGCATAACCCTTATAGGTATGGCTTGGGAGGGAGTGACTACCAGGACTTTGAACTCTGCTTGGAGAAAATTGTGGCCAGATTGTGTCAACAAGAGGGATTTTGAAGGGTTTGTGGCTGACCCTGATGAGCCTATGTCTGTTGTTAAATCCATTGTGGCACTGGGGAGTTCCATGGGGTTGGATGTGAGTTTGGAGGATGTGGAAGAGTTGGTGGAAGACCACAATGAAGAGCTCACCACTGAGGAGCTGCAAGAGCTTCAGCAGGAAGAGCAACAGATCGCAGCTCAGAATCTTGCTGCAGAGGAGGAGGAAGAGAGATGGAAGAAGGTGCCTTCTTCAGAAATTAAGGAGATTTTTGAAATGTGGGGTAAGATGGAAAGATTTATGGAGAAACATCACCCTGACAAGGCTGTTGCAAGCCATGTTGGCAACATGTACAGTGACAAAGTCTTGGCCCATTTTAGGGAAGTGTTAAAGAGACGCCAGAAACAGAGCTCTCTCCACAGTTATTTTGCGAGACAGAACTCCAGTCACTCTCAAGCTGGTCCTAGTGGCATTAAGAAACAGAGAAGAGAAGTAACCCCAGAAAAGCAATTGGTACCTGAGGTGTTGCTGGAAGGGGATTTCCCTTCCAAACAGTAACTAATCCAATCTCTCTCCTCCTCCAGTCTTCCATACACTAAGAAGAATCACCAATAAAGGTAAGTGTTATGCTGTTAATGTTTCATTCATCATGTACCATTGTATTGTTTATGTACTACATCTATATTTCATGTAAAAAAATTTTTTGCTTTAATACTTCTGGGTGTCAGGAATTGATTAATTGTATTTACATTGTTTCTTTTGGGAAAAATTGATTCGAAAATCGTAGATTTCGATAATAGTAACACCTCCAGGAATGGATTAATTACAATAAACGAGGGACCACTGTACTCTTGACTAGTTTGGTAAAACGAATAATGTTGAATAAGCCAAGCCATCAAGTTCACAGACCATAATTCTGTTATATTTCAGTTTATGTGTTGGAATGACCAGGAGCTGGAAGAGTCGGTGAATCATTTACTGCTGGTGGCTGCAGCATTCCGTGCTATAAAGGCGACCTATAACATCACACACAGCAGAGTACATGGTAATCAAAATGAATTCCTTATTCCAAGGCCAGACTTAAGTCCTGGAGATGGGAAGTACAGTGTTTACACTCTGAAGGAGGGGTGTAATGTTACTGTTTTATAACGGTAGTGTAAGCACGCCTCTGGCAAGTGTGATAGACTGAATGATGATGAAAGTTTTTTTTTCAAGGCCACCTTGCCTTGGTGGGAGACGGCCGATGTGTTAATAAAATAAAGTAAATAATTCCAAAGAAATAATTAATTTTTAAAAAATATTGAAAGCCTAAAACAGATAACCCGCATGGGTTCGATTTGGTTGTTCGATTTGGTTGTTTCTGCATGTTGAAGAATTCCAGTCATCATCCAGAAACAAGAGCTACCAAAAATAACTCTAGACTGTGATGGTGAAAGGGTTTCTTTTTTGGGTTACCCTTCCTTGGTGGGAGACGGCCAACATCTTAAAAGAAAAAAAAGACTGAATTATGACTGCATAAAATATAACTTTAGATGGCCATAAAGGGATATACAGGTAAACCGGTAAGCCAGACGTTAGTCCTGGAGATGGAAAGTACGAGTCCTGCTCTCTGGAAGTCGTGTTGGGATGTTAGACTTCAGAGAGCCATTTGAGTTGTGATGTTTACACACTTTTTGAATGATTGATAATTTTTTTTTTAGCAAACTGGCCATGTCCCACCCAGGCAGGGCGGCCTCAAAAGAAAAATGAAAGTTTATTTTTTGAAATTTAGAAGTGTGTACAGGAGAAGGGGTTACTAGCCCCTTACTCCCGGCATTTTAGTCGCCTCTTATGACACGCATGGCTTATGGAGGAAGAATTCTCTTCCAATTCCCCATGGAGATGAATGTGTTTACTTTTTTGGGTCACCCTTTGTTGGTGGAAGACAATTGGTGTATTAAAAAGAAAGGTGACTATGTTATCTTATCATTGTGTAATTTTTTTTTTTCCAACAAAATCTCTCATCCATTGTATTATTTTGCCATTTATGCCTCATGTGTTTGGGAGTAAACATAAATTTTTTTACTGGAGGCCTTTCACAAGCATATATGAAATCCAAATAAGTGCAGTCTGTCCATTTATTTCTTGCATACTAATTTATATTACTTTGTCCTAGTAGTTTAGTACACTTAATACAGATTTTTTTTCTGAATTTCAACCATTTCATAGCATGTATCTTGTGTTACATATATATTTCTCTAATGACTTTTTCTACAGTTGTAATAACACTTAACAGTGAGATTGTCTTGTAGTTTAAGCGTATGATTTCTTTTCTTAGCTAAAGCAGCAGAGTTATATCTTGTCTTCAGTGTTTATTCTATCGGCATTTTTTTGGATTTTCAGTGGTTGTAGCATTTACTACCACCTAATGACCTTAAATACATACATTGTATTTTTTTTTTAACAAGTCGGTCGTCTCCCACCGAGGCAGGGTGACTCAAAAAGAAAGAAAATCCCCAAAAAGAAAATACTTTCATCATCATTCAACTCTTTCACCTCACTCACGCATAATCACTGTTTTTGCAGAGATGCTCAGAACACAACAGTTTAGAAGCATATACGTATGAAGATACACAACATATCCCTCCAAACTGCCAATATCCTGAACCCCTCCTTTAGAGTGCAGGCATTGTACTTCCCATTTCCAAGACTCAAGTCCGGCTATATAAAAATAACCGGTTTCCTTGAATCCCTTCACTAAATATTACCCTGCTCACACTCCAGCAGATCGTCAGGTCCCAAATACCATTTGTCTCCATTCACTCCTATCAAACACGCTCACGCACGCCTGCTGGAAGTCCAAGCCCCTCGCCCACAAAACCTCCCTTACCCCTTCCTTCCAACCTTTTCGAGGAAGACCCCTACCCTGCCTTCCTTCCCCTACAGATTTAGATGCTTTCCATGTCATTCTACTTTGATCCATTCTCTCTAAATGACCAAACCACCTCAACAATCCCTCTTCATCCCTCTGACTAATACTTTTATTAACTCCACACCTTCTCCTAATTTCCACACTCCGAATTTTCTGCATAATATTTACACCACACATTGCCCTTAGATAGGACATCTCCACTGCCTCCAACCGCCTCCTCGCTGCTGCATTCACAACCCAAGCTTCACACCCATACTGGTACTACTATACTTTCATACATTCCCTTCTTTCCCTCCATAGATAATGTTTTTTGTCTCCACATATACCTCAATGCACCACTCACCTTTTTTCCCTCATCACTTCTATGATTAACCTCATCCTTCATAAATCCATCCGCTGACACTTCAACTCCCAAGTATCTGAAAACATTCACTTCTTCCATACTCCTCCTCCCCAGTGTGATATAAAATTTTTCTTTATCTAAATCATTTGATACCTTACTCTTTTCTATGTTCACTTTCAACTTTCTACCTTTACACACATTCCCAAACTCATCCACTAACCTTTGTAATTTTTCTTTAGAATCTCCCATAAGCACAGTATCATCAGCAAAAAGCAACTGTGTCAATTCCCATTTTGTATTTGATTCCCCATAATTTAATCCCACCCCTCTCCCGAACACCATAGCATTTACTTCTTTTACAACCCCATCTATAAATACAGTGGACCCCCGCCTTATGATGGCATTGCGTTACGTTAAATCTGCTATACGATACATTTGAACGCAAAAATTTTGCCTCGCCTCACGCGATTCGTATATTACATGTCCATGTGTGTGTGTGTGTGTGTGTGTGTGTGTGTGTGTGTGTGTGTGTGTGTGTGTGTGTGTGTGTGTGTGTGTGTGTGTGTGTGTGTGTGTGCATGTGTGTGTGCGTGTTTGTGTGTATGTATGTGTGTATGTTACCTGTCCATGTGTGTGAATGTTGCCTGTCTATGTGTGTGTGTGTATGTGTTGCCTGTCTATGTGTGGGTATGTGTTACCTGTCCATGTGTGTGAGTGTTGCCTGTCTATGTGTGTGTGTGTGTGTGTGTGTTACCTGTCCATGTGTATGTGGCATCTATTTAAGTGTGTGTGTGTGTCACCTGTTGATGTGTGTGTGTGTTGCCTGTCTATGTGTGTGCGAGTATGTGTTACCTGTTCATGTGTGTGAGTGTTGCCTGTCTTTGTGTGTGTGTGTACTCACCTATTTGTACTCACCTATTTGTGGTTGCAGGGGTCGAGTCACAGCTCCTGGCCCCGCCTCTTCGCTGATTGCTACTAGGTCCTCTCTCTCCCTGCCCCATGAGCTCTATTATACCTCGCCTTAAAACTATGTATGGTTCCCGCCTCCACTACGTCACTTTCTAGGCTATTCCACGGCCTGACTACTCTATGACTGAAGAAATACTTCCTAACATCCCTCTGATTCATCTGAGTCTTCAACTTCCAATTGTGACCTCTTGTGTCTGTGTCCCTTCTCTGGAACATCCCGTCTTTGTCCACCTTGTCTATTCCGCGCAGTATTTTATATGTCGTTATCATGTCTCCCCTGTCCCTCCTGTCCTCCAGTGTCATCAGGCCGATTTCCCTCAACCTTTCTTCATAGGACAATCCCCGTAGCTCTGGGACTAGTCTTTGCACTTTCTCTAATTTCTTGACGTGCTTAACTAGGTGTGGATTCCAAACTGGTGCTGCATACTCCAGTATGGGCCTGACGTAAATGGTATACAGAGTCTTGAACGAATCCTTACTGAGGTATCGGAACGCTATCCGTAGGTTTGCCAGGCGCCCGTATGCTGCAGCAGTTATCTGATTGATGTGCACCTCAGGAGATATGCTCGGTGTTATACTCACCCCCAGATCTTTTTCCTTGAGTGAGGTTTGCAGTCTTTGGCCATCTAAACTATATTGTGTCTGCGGTCTTCTTTGCCCTTCCCCAATCTTCATGACTTTGCATTTGGCAGGGTTAAATTCAAGGAGCCAGTTGCTGGACCAGGCTTGTAGCCTGTCCAGGTCTCTTTGTAGTCCTGCCTGATCCTCATCCGATTTGATTCTTCTCATTAACTTCACATCATCTGCAAACAAGGACACTTCTGAGTCTATCCCTTCTGTTATGTCGTTCACATATACCAAGAACAGCACAGGTCCTAGGACTGACCCCTGTGGAACCCCGCTTGTCACAGGCGCCCACTCTGACACCTCGTCGCGTACCATGACTTGTTGTTGCCTCCCTGTCAGATATTCTCTGATCCATTGTAGTGCCTTTCCTGTTATGTGTGCCTGATCCTCTAGCTTTTGCAGTAACCTCTTGCGAGGAACTGTGTCGAAGGCCTTCTTGCAGTCCAAAAATATGCAGTCGATCCACCCCTCTCTCTCTTGTCTTACTTCTGTCACCTTGTCATAAAACTCTAGTAGGTTTGTGACACAGGATTTTCCTTCCCTGAAACCGTGCTCGTTGTCAATTATACACTTGTTTCTTTCCAGGTGCCCCACCACTCTCCTCCTGATGATCTTCTCCATGACCTTGCATACTATACACGTTAGTGATACAGGTCTGTAGTTTAGTGCCTCATGTCTGTCTCCCTTTTTAAAAATTGGGACTACATTTGCCATTTTCCATACCTCAGGGAGTTGCCCAGTTTCAAATGATGTGTTGAAGATCTTTGTTAATGGCTCACACAATATCTCTGCTTCCTCTGTAAGGATCCATGGAGAGATGTTGTCTGGTCCCACCGCCTTTGAGGTGTCAAGTTCGCATAGCAGCTTCTTCACCTCCTCGTTGGTTATATGTACCTCATCCAGCACTTGCTGGTGTGCCCCCCTGTTCTGATTTCCTGGAGTCCTACTGGTTTCCACTGTAAATACCTCTTTAAATCTTGTGTTGAGCTCCTGACATACCTCTTGGTCGTTTCTTGTGAATTCCCCATCACCCTTCCTCATTCTGATTACCTGGTTCTTGACTGTTGTTTTCCTCCTGATGTGGCTGTACAACAGCTTCGGGTCAGTCTTTACTTTTGATGCTATGTCATTTTCATATTGTCTCTGAGCCTCCCTTCTTATCTGTGCATATTCGTTTCTGGCTCTTCGGCTGATTTCTTTATTTTCGTGAGTTCTCTGTCTTCTGTACCTTTCCCATTCTCTAGTACACCTAGTTTTTGCCTCCCTACACCTTTGGGTGAACCAAGGACTCGTTCTGTTCTTCCCATTATTTCTGTTTCCCTTGGGAACAAACCTCTCCTGTGTGTGTGTGTGTGTGTGTGTGTGTGTGTGTGTGTGTGTGTGTGTGTGTGTGTGTTACCTATGCCAGTTGTGGAATCCATTGTGCCTATTTCAAAGATTAATGAAATGTGTGAAAAAGTGGGTTGAACTGCAAACCTTTATGGAAGAAAAGCATCCTAACACAGCTATTGCAAGTCATGACAGTGCTGTGGCCCATTTTAGGCAAATCTTGAAGGAAAAGGACTTGCTACCTCAAGTCCTAATGGAAGGGGATTCCCCTTCTAAACAATAACAAATTCCACACTCTCCCCTCCTCCCATCCCATCAGTCATCACCAGATCTTCAATGAAGGTAAGTATCGTGTATTCTATTCTTAGTAGAGTATTAATTGTGCATGTCTTCTTAAGTTTGTGTGTATTAAAATTAATATTTCATGTGGTAAAAAAAATTTTCAGACATTTGGGTGTCTTGCATGAATTAATTTGATTCCCATTATTTCTTATGGGGAAAATTAATTTGCCTTACGATAATTTCGGTTCACGATGAGCTCTCAGGAACGGATTAATATCGTAAGGTGGGGTCCACTGTATATTAAACAACCATGGTGACACTCCAGGATGATTTGAATAGACTGACGCAATGGTCGGAGAAGTGGCAGATGCAGTTTAATATTGACAAATGCAAAGTTCTAAATGTTGGACAGTTAAATAACCATGCCACATATAAACTAAATAATGTAGATCTTAATACTACTGATTGCAAAAAGGATTTAGGAGTTCTGGTTAGCAGTAACCTAATACCAAGACAACAGTGCATTAGTGTTCGCAATAAAGCTAACAGAATTCTTGGCTTCATATCTAGAAGTATAAATAATAGAAGTGCTCAAGTTGTTCTTCAACTCTATATATCCTTGGTTAGGCCTCATTTAGACTATGCTGCTCAGTTCTGGTCACCGTATTACAGAATGGATATAAATGCTTTGGAAAACGTACAAAGATGATCCCATGTATTAGAAATCTTCCCTATGAGGAAAGACTGAGGGCTCCGAATCTGCACTCTCTAGAAAGGCATAGAATTAGGGGGGATATGATTGAGGTGTATAAATGGAAAGCAGGAATAAATAAAGGGGATGTAAATAGTGTGCTGAAAATTTCCAACCATGACAGGACTCGCAGCAATGGTTTCAAGTTGGAAAAATTCAGATTCAGGAAGGATATAGGAAAGCACTGGTTTGGTAATAGAGTTGTGGATGAGTGGAACAAACTCCCGAGTACAGTTATTAAGGCTAAAACGTTGTGTAGTTTTAAAAATAGGTTAGATATATATGAGTGGGTGTGGGTGGGTGTGAGTTGGACCTGACTGGCTTGTGCTGCTGGGTCTGGTGCAGTGCTCCATCCTTGAGTGGAGATGACCAGGCTGGGTGGGTCGTTGGGATAATCCGGGTGGTGGGTCATTGGTCTAATCTGGGGGGGGTGGGGGGACATGGACCTGCTCTGCATGGGTCAGTAGGCCTGTTGCAGTGTTCCTTCCTTCTTATGTTCATATGTTACACATACCTGTCTAAGACCTACTTTTACCCGGAAGTAGTCTCCCTGTCTTTTACACACCCTAACCTGAGCCTCACTATCCTCATAAAAACTCTTTACAGCATTTAGTAACTTACCACCTATTCCATATACTTGCAACATCTGCCACATTGCTCCCCTATCCACTCTATAATATGCCTTTTCTAAATCCATAAATGCAATAAAAACTTCCCTACCTTTATCTAAATACTGTTCACATATATGCTTCAATGTAAACACTTGATCTACACATCCCCTACCCACTCTAAAACCTCCTTGCTCATCTGCAATCCTACATTCTGTCTTACCTCTAATTCTTTCAATAATAACCCTACCGTACACTTTTCCTGGTATACTCAGTAAACTTATTCCTCTATAATTTTTACAATCTCTTTTGTCCCCCTTCCCTTTATATACATTGTATATGTAATGTTAATTGCCCTTGTAGTTTTTAGTTTGGCTTAAGCTTGACTGAAATGCTCTGCATAACCATTGGCTTTCTACATGCATTCAAGTGTCACCCATTTCTGTATAAACAATTTTATTTTTTCAACATGCTGGCTGTCTCTCACCGAGGCGGTGACAACGTGCTATGTGGAAACAAGCTTTGACTTTGACCTGGTGCATTCCTCTTCTTGGTTCTCCCACTGACAAACTTTCTGGTACTTTTTTCGTTCTGTTTTCATAAACGGCTTCTTGTTCTCACTGTTGAAGGTTCTGAGAAGTGTTCCTCACTCTTTTCTGTTATGTGATTTTGTAAATGGTCCGAGTCGGACCAAACGTTGTCGTAGGCTCCTCTCTCCTATATGCAGGTTATTTGTGTATTATTAATTCTTTCATGTATATTCACGTGTAATTAGCTTTAACAGCTACAGACACAGAGCTATGCTCAGTATGTACCATCTCCATTAATTAATTCATAGTAAAAAATAAATTTCCGTGGGGAAGTGAAAAAGAATCCTTCCTCCGTAAGCTATGCGTGTCGTAAGAAGTGACTAAAATGTCAAGAGCAAGGCGCTAGTAACCCTTTCTCCTATATAAACTTCTAAATTTAACCCGTAAACGGTCCAAGCAGATCTACGTTCAGATGTGTAGCGCTACAAAAGTAGATCTATTTTTTTTTTTTACATATTTTCAAATATAACAAAAAAAAAAGTAGATCAAAGTTTTTACACATTTTCAAATGTAAAAAACAAAAAGATCTAGTTTTTTTACATACTTTCAAATGTTGAAAAAACGTATATATACGTTTGGACCGTTTATGGGTTAAAAGAGGAAGAGCTTTATGAAAGCATTTCTTCTTTTTCGGGTCATCATGCCTTAGTCGGAGATGGCCAGTGTGTTAAAAAAATTAAATTTCCAATAGTTGTAGCACTTCATATCTCCTCTTTTTGTAATCCATTCCAGTGGTACATCAATCTGTGAAAATCTAATATAAATACTTTCATTTCCATATTTTTTGCAATTTAGAGTTGCGGTCATTTGTTTTCCCTGCTTAAGGTATCTTTTATATCATGCACATGTATATGTACTTTCTTGTGCGAATGTATGAATATGTATCTACTCATGTGCATGTGTAAATATGTATTTACTCATGTGCATGTATGAATGTGTACATACATGAATGTTCATTCTAGTTTTCTATAAATGTAATAATCTTTCACATCTCTCTGGTACAAACCAAAACCCAGAAATCGTCATTGGCCAGATTGATTATATCAGCAAGATTTTTTTCCAGGTAGTTTTGTATGCTTAAATTCCCATCTGAATACTGTGTTGGTCGAAAACTTGGAAGTGGTGAAGAAACTGGGTCGCATTGCATCGTTGACTGCGATAGATAAGAACACATCGCCCCCCACCTCATCGTCAGCATCGACAACCTGTGACTCTACGATTGTTTATCTTCATCTCAAGGTAAGTTTTGCTTTGGTATATAATTTTTTTTTCAGCAAACCAGCCGTATCCAGCCAAGGCAGCATGACCCAAAAATTCAGTAATTTGGTATGTAATTTTAAGAAAAATAAATGTATCGTTTCTCCATGGGGAAGTGGAGAATTCTTCCTCCGTAAGCTGTGTATGTCATGAGAGGCAACTAAAATGCTGGGAGCAAGGAGCTGGTAACCTCTGCCGTGTTTCATTTTTGGGTCATTCTGCCTCAGTGGAAAATGGCCGGTGATTAAAAAAAAATATTGTTATAATGTGGGTGTTGTGTGTGTGTGTTTGTACTTACCTAAGTGAATTTGCATGGTTTGAGCTTTAGCTTCTTTAACTATCAGTTGAATGTTGTGATACATTAATAACTCCATGAATGCTTATAATAATTTTTGAGAGCAATAAGACTTTTCCTAGTCCTCTTAAAACTTAAAGAAAATTATACCAGTTTTGTAGAAGAGCATATATGCTCTGAAGAGTATGTGTATATGTCCTGTGGCTTGGTAGGTCTGTGGCTCGGTTGGTAGTGCACTCACCTTGCACATAGAGTGTCCGTGGTTCAGTCCTTCGCCAGGTGGAAATGTTGGGCATGTTTCTTTACACTTGCTGTCCCTGTTCACCTAGCAGTAAGTCCCTGGGTGTTAGTGAACTGGTGTGGGTGGCATCTTGGGGAACGGGATTGAAGGACTACAATGGAAAAAAGTCTCATAATGCCCTGACTTTTTTTAGTTAACCTGGGTGGTTAACTCATCAGGTTAGAAATCCAAACATCTGATGCACACGAGCCCACTAAAATCCAACCTTATAAGATGAAATAAATTTCATCTGAAAAGTTTGGATTTCAGTGGGCTCGTGTGCATCAGATGACCATAACATCAAAACGAAGCATCTTGCTCCCAGCACTCAGATAAAACATTGTAAGAACTTTATCATAGTCTGGAGGTTGAACTGAATATTCTCGAGCTTCTGAACTTGGGCGAGCGTCAGCATAACTTATACAAAGCTCATAATTTGGCTGTGTCAGCAGTGAGGTTGATTATTAACAGTGGAGATAGTATTACCAGGGGAATCCAGTTTGGAGGCATTCAAGGCTAGATAAGATTGGTTTTACAATACAATACAATTGTTAGGCACAGAACAAAGTCACTAATATGCAGTGCAATTTCAGGCAAACTAATCCTAATACTTAGATGTTACTTTAGACTTAGACATAGACTTTTAGTTAGACTATTAAGGTTGAGGGATCATGTTTAGCTATATAATATTGTCATCAGTAGTGAGGCATCAAATGTAAACACTGAAGCAGCAGCTTAACTGAAAAAGACATTAGCCATGTTGATAGAACATAAGAAGGAAGGAACACTGCAGCAGGCCTACTGGCCCATGCAAGGCAGTTCCAAGTCACCTACTGGCTTAAGCCACTGAGGAAGGCTATGCAGTGCAACAGATACTAATGTTTTGGCCACAGATTTACCTGCTTAATATTAATTACAACAAATCATGGAATGAGTGGAGGTTTGTGCCCATAGCAAGCCCCACCCATTCTCTGATCTCTTGGCAATTATGTTATAACGGTTTTATGAGCCAGTTAATATTAATTAATTTTTAGTATTTTATAATGTCATGTAAAGAATACAAGAGGTTCTTACAAAAAAAATGTTGTGTTCCTTGTTTTTAATTGTAAATTACAGTGGACCCCTGGTATACGAACAGCTCCCAATGCGACCAATTATGTAAGTGTATTTATGTAAGTGCGTTTGTATGTGTATGTTTGGGTGGTCTGAAATGGACTAGTCTAATTCATAATATTCCTTATGGGAACAAATTCGGTTAGTACTGGCACCTGAGCATACGTCTGGAATGAAATAATATCGGAAACCGGGGGTCCACTGTATTTATTTGTAAATACCAATGGTACACCCTCTTTTACTGAAGCTTTGCACTTTAAAATCTGTCATTGCTTTCTAAAAATTCTGACTAAGTACAAATGTATGTAACTTCGGGCATTTGTAAGTTTTTTTAACACATCGACCATTTCACACCAAGGCAGGGTGATCCAAAAAAAAAAATATTCTTCTTCCTGCATTTAGTAATTTATACAGGAGAAGGGGTTACTAGCACCTTGCTCCCGGCATTTTAGTCGCCTCTTACAACATGCATGTCTTACGGAGTTAGTTTAGTATCTTTATTGTGCACCCCATATCCATCTTATGGGTGGTAGTCAAAAAGATTACAGAGGTGCATAATGGGTTCAGGGACTGCTCCGCAAAGTTTTGATAGCTGAACAAGTTACAAAGGTAATGAACTATTCACACGTCTACACCTGATCAAATTTAATGAGTTATTAATGCAAACACCAGAGGAAGGATTCTTCTCCACTTTCCCTTGAAGTATTTGTTAGCTGATGACCTGCAATTTAAGTTGTCTTATAAAAAATATGTTTTAATGGTCCTCTTAATCTCGCCATTCAGGGTGTGATCGATCCAAAGCAGGAACTTGTACGCTTGAGGAAGAAGATGAGCAAGGTTCAGAAAGAGGAAACTAAAATCACAAGCATCATTACAGCTCCTGGTTATATCGAGAGGTCGCCAGCACACATTCAAGATACTCATCAGAGAAAGGTGAGTGTTTTGGGGTCTGTATGTTCATCATTCTTTATCCAGCTGTCTGTAATTGCCTATTTGAGTTTGTGGTGGATAAGCTCTAGCTCTTGGTCTTGCCTTTTAACTTTCAGTTGACTGACATGATTAAGTTCACTCACATCTGTTTTTCAACCCTATATGGAGTTAGCTTCCACATGTATGTTTATATTTGTGTAATTATCTAATTATAGCTAGAAAAGTAAAGCTATGCTTGAGTGGCAAAGAATCCTTCCTCCATAAGCAACGTGTCATAAGAAGTGACTAAAATGCCAGAAGCAAGGGGATAGTAACCCCTTCTGTATAAATTACTAAATTTCAAAAGTAAAAGTAAAAAGAAAACGTTTCTTCTTTTTCGGGTCATCCTGGCTCGGTGGGAGATGTCTTGTGTGTTGAAAAAAATACAAATGCACTTTGTATGTTAAAAAAATTATATTTCATTTTGTAAATGATGTTTACAAGTCGGTTTTGGGATATTTGCTGTTTAAAGTAACATCTGAATTGTCGTATCTGACAAGACAGCGATAGTATGAATGATGGTGAAAGTGTTTCTTTTTCGGGTCACCCTGCCTCGGTGGGAGATGGTAAGTGTGTTAAAAAATATGTCTGTGGCCCTTCAAGGAGAACTGCCTTGTTATTAAAGGCCTCTTGATCTAAGGAATTGGTGCTGCCCTTTCCCTAAAATCAAACCTTAATATCTACCATTCCCTAGGCACTGTATGACCCCTTACAGGTTTAATGCTTTCCTGTGATTACACAGTAATAATAATATGTGCCAGTGTTATATTTCACTGCGAGTGCAATATAAACGCAAACAGGGGATCTTAGCGATGCAAAACAAGCCACGGGGGGATGGATCTCTTCAGCTGAAGATTTTCGTGCCCCTGTAGCTTGTTTTGTTTCACTGTAAGTGTATAGTTTAACTTTTAACTAAGAGTAATAAAAGATATATTTTCAGCTAGCCTCATTGAGAGCACAACTGGAGCAATTACTTTTCATCGTCCAAAATCTGGAGAAGATGTAGCTACAACCCTGCCAATCTACCTTCCTCGTGATGATTCTGGGGGTCGTTGCCCCCACACAACCATTCCTTGACCAGGATCTAGTTAATAGCTTGGTCAATCAGGCTGTTTGTACTAGCAACACAGGCCAATGTAAATGCTGCAGCTTCAGCTTACATTGTACCTGGTGTACTACAGTTGGATGAATCTTTCCTCTGTGAATACCTGGAGTTTACCTGGAGAGAGTTCTGGGGGTCAACGCCCCCGCGGCCCGGTCTGTGACCAGGCCTCCTGGTGGATCAGAGCCTGATCAACCAGGCTGTTGCTGCTGGCTGCACACAAACCAACGTACAAGCCACAGCCCGGCTGAATATGTGTATATTTGTAAATGATTTTATTATATACTGCACTTGACTAAATAAATAAAATCAAGTTGCTGAAATTCATTTGATTCATTTCATTTCTGAATCAAGTTCAGTAGAATCTCACAAAAAGCACATTTGCATAGTAAACTTTATATGCTAATTTGTAAACATCTAAACTTTTCTTAGCCACATCTTCCATTTTCCTAGGTAGTAGGTTGGTAGACAGCAACCGCCCAGAGAGGTACTACCATCCTGCCAAGTGAATGTACAACGAAAACCTGTAATTGTTTTACATGATGGTAGGATTGCTGGTGTCTTTTGTCTGTCTCATAAACATGCAAGATTTCAGGTACGTCTTGCTACTTCTACTTACACTTAGGTCACACTACACATACATGTACAAGCATATATATACACACCCCTCTGGGTATTCTTCTATTTTCTTTCTAGTTCTTGTTCTTGTTTATTTCCTCTTATCTCCTTAGGGAAGTGGAACAGAATTCTTCCTCCGTAAGCCATGCGTGTTGTAAGAGGTGACTAAAATGCCGGTAGCAAGAGGCTAGTAACCCCTTCTCCCGTATAAATTACTAAATTTAAAAGAGAAACTTTCTTTTTTCTTTTTGGGCCACCCTGCCTTGGTGGGATATGGCCGGTGTGTTGAAAGAAAGAAAGATCTTCCATTTTCCACCATGATACAATATAAACGTGTAAATGAATGCTTTAGAAAATTCCTGAAAAAACAGTGAATAATCCCATGTCATACCAGGGCAATAAGGATACAAAATGTATAGATTATTGATGCATATGTTTCCAGATGGGAATCAAGAAAATCAGTTAACTGAACTTGGAGGTATAAAAGTACTGTAATCTATATTCGCAAGGATCTGTAGGAATATTCCTGACAATAGGTTCATTTGAATTGTAATCTCTGCTCATTTCGTACAAAACAGGTATTGAATGAGTGATGCTGATCGTGTTTCCTCCTTTGGGTTGCCTTATATGATGACAAATGGATGATATAATAAATTAAGTTTACAGATTTCAACAACAAACCAGCCATTTCTCACCAAGGCAGATATATTTTACAAATCTTAATGATGAAAAGTAACCAGTTGATGTGCAGTGTTGACTTCTCACTGTAGATGGTAGCTGGTAGACAACAATTATCCAGGAAGATGCCATTGTCATCTCATATGAGTATGCAACATTGTTGGTAAACAGCAACCATCCTGGGAGGTACTACCCTCCTGTCATGTGTATGAACCATAGAAGGTTGGTAGACAACAACCATCCTGGGAGGTACTACCCTCCTGTCATGTGTATGAAGCATAGAAGGTTGGTAGACAACAACCATCCAGGGAGGTACTACTCTCCTGTCATGTGTATGAACCATAGAAGGTTGGTAGACAACAACCATCCAGGGAGGTACTACCCTCCTGTCATGTGTATGAAGTATAGAAGGTTGGTAGACAACAACCATCCAGGGAGGTACTACCCTCCTGTCATGTGTATGAAGTATAGAAGGTTGGTAGACAACAACCATCCAGGGAGGTACTACCCTCCTGTCATGTGTATGAAGTATAGAAGGTTGGTAGACAACAACCATCCAGGGAGGTACTACCCTCCTGTCATGTGTATGAACCATAGAAGGTTGGTAGACAACAACCATCCAGGGAGGTACTACTCTCCTGTCATGTGTATGAACCATAGAAGGTTGGTAGACAACAACCATCCAGGGAGGTACTACCCTCCTGTCATGTGTATGAACCATAGAAGGTTGGTAGACAACAACCATCCAGGGAGGTACTACCCTCCTGTCATGTGTATGAACCATAGAAGGTTGGTAGACAACAACCATCCAGGGAGGTACTACCCTCCTGTCATACCAGTGCAGTGGAAACCTGTTAAATGTTTTGCACTCTGGGAGGATCAATAATGTATTCTTTCTGTTTCATAAACATGTAAGATGACAGTCAAATATACAAACCAGAATTATTTGTTCAAGGGTGATTTGCCTTGATGCTGACAAAGGGTTCTTTATCCAAGGAATTTGAGCTACCTTCCACTCAGATAAGACTTGATTACCTCCCATTCCCCAGGTGCTACATGACCCCTCTGGGTTTAGCACTTTCATGAATATATTGTCCATGGAAATAAATGGTATCAAATACCGACACAGTGGAAATATAAACACATATGCCGTATAATGTGATCCTTTATTGACAACGTTTCACCCACGCAGTGGGCTTTTTCAAGTCACACACAGATCAGATCTGTGTGTGACTTGAAAAAGCCCACTGTGTGGGCGAAACGTTGTCAATAAAGGATCACATTATACTGCATATGTGTTTATATTTCCAATATATTGTCCATCTTGACCACCATCACTGCAGCCAATCAATCACCACAATTAATTTCACAATCATTGCCATCATCACCTTCGTGATCACCACTCCATCTTCACCATTATCACTACTGTTTTAACTACCAGTCATCACTATCACCTTCACAACATCAACACCATTAATATCACCATGCCACTGCCCGGTGGCCTGGTGGCTGAAGCTCCCGCTTCACACACGGAGGGCCCGGGTTCAATCCCCGGTGGGTGGAAACATTTCGACACGTTTCCTTACACCTGTTGTCCTGTTCACCTAGCAGCAAATAGGTCACTGGGTGTTAGTCGACTGGTGTGGGTCGCATCCTGGGGGACAAGATTAAGGACCCCAATGGAAATAAGTTAGACAGTCCTCGATGACGCACTGACTTTCTTGGGTTATCCTGGGTGGCTAACCCTCCAGGGTTAAAAATCCGAACAAAATCTTATCTTACCACCACCAGTAGCACTATCACACCACCACCACTACTATCACACCACCACCACTACTATCACACCACCACCACTACTATCACACCACCACCACTACTATCACACCACCACCTACTATCACACCACCACCAACTACACACCACCACACTACTATCATCACACCACCACCACTACTATCACACCATCACTATTATCACACACCACTACTATCACACCACCACCACTACTATCACACCACCACCACTACTATCACACCACCACCACTACTATCACACCATCACTACTATCACACCACTACTACTATCACACCACCACCACTACTATCACACCATCACTACTATCACACCACCACCACTACTATCACACCATCACTACGATCACACCACCACTACTATCACACCACCACTACTACTATCACACCACCACTACTATATCACACCACCACCACTACTATCACTATCTCACTACTATCACACCATCACTACTATCACACACCACCCTACTATCACACCATACTACTATCACACCATCACTACTACACACTCTATACACCACCTACCACTACTTCAACACCCACCTACCACACTACTCTATACACACTACACACACCACCTACATCACACCATCACTACTATCACACCACCACTACTATCACACATCCACCACCACTACTATCACACCACACTACTATCACACCACCACTACTACTATCACACCTACTATACTACCACACACCATACATCACACCCACATCACAACTACTATCACACCATCACTACTATCACACCACCACTACTACTATCAACACCACCACTACTATCACACCACACACTATACTCACCACTCATCCACCACTACTATCACACCAACACTACTATCACACCCCACCATACTTCACACCCTACTACATCACACCACCACCATACTATACACCACACCACTACATCATCAACCACACACTACTCACAATCCCCCACCACTACTATCACACCACCACCACTACTATCACACCATCACTACTATCACACCACCACCACTACTACACACCACACTACTATCACACACCACCACACTATCACACCACTACATCACACCAACCACCACACTACTCATAACACCCACACTACTTCAACCCGTACACATACACTATCACACCACCCTACTACTATCACACCACCACACACTATCACACTCACTACTCACACCCACCACTATATCACACACACTACTATCACACACACTACTATTCCACACTACTATCACACCATCACTACTATCACACCCATAACACACCACACTATATCACACCACCACTACATATCACACCACCACCACTACTATCACACACCACTACTATCTACACACACCACCACTACTATCACACCATCACTACTATCACAACTCACTACTATCATACGCACCACACTACACACCACACTACTATCCACCACCACCATAATCACACCATCACTACTATCACACCACCACACTACTATCACACCACCACTACTATCACACCACACCACACACCACTTCACACCACCACATACACACATCACTACACATCACCACACCTACTATAACACACCACCACTACTATACACCACCATCACTACTATCACACCACCCCCACTACTATCACACCCACTATAACCACACCACCACTAACACACACACCACTATACACCGACCACCACTAACACCACACACACTACCACTACTAACACCATCACGCCACTATAACACCACCACCACTATAACACCACCACCACTATACCACCACCACCACTATAACACCACCACCACCACTATAACACCACCACCACCACTATAACACCACCACCACCAATATAACACCACCACCACTATAACACCACCACCACTATACCACCACCACCACTATAACACCACCACCACCACTATAACACCACCACCACCAATATAACACCACCACCACCGCCACTTCTAGCACCGTAACAGTTCTCCAGCAAGCAATCATTGACCTAGTAACCTTAAGCAGAACGACTGAGATAATAACAGTAATTATAGCCAATAACTACACAACAGCAGATAATAAACAATGACCAAGGAGGAGGAGCCTACTCCCCCCTGAACCTCTCTGAAGAGGATCCTTGATGCATGTTCAGGGCTCCTCGTCCAAGGAGTTGGATCTATCCTCCACCTGGATTTAACCCACTTGCCACCCATTCTCCCAGGGGCTGTATAAGCCACAGGTTAAGCCATAAGCCATAACTGAAACACCTAATAGCCAACGTGTTGAGGGGATGGAGTCAGTCGCTCGCTGGACGTCGCCGGGGGAGGACGCTGCTCTTCTCTCCTCCATTTATCTCGCGGTTTTTTTTTTTCTTTCAATTTGTTAGGCCTTTTAGTGGCTGCTGAAGATTGTAAGTAACTTTATGATGTATTCATTTTTAGATACGTTTATAAATGATTGTTTTTTTTTCTGTTGGAAAAAAAGTAGTAATTGTGAATTAGAAATTAAAGGACTAGAATGAATATTAAATTATATATATATATATATATATATATATATATATATATATATATATATATATATGTGTGTGTGTGTGGTGCCAAATAGGTTAAATTTGCTATTTTGGCTTAAATAGCAACGCTCTTCTTGCCGAATAAGACAAGTGAAAATTTGTGTATGCAATAATTTCGCAAAAATCATTCTGAACTTAACGAACAAAATATATTTCACTGTGTTTGTTTATTATTAAATTATTGTAAACTTGTCTAAAATATATTTAGTTTGATTAAGCTAAATTAAATTGTTCTTGTTATAACAAGGTCAGGTAAGTTTTCTAATGTTCTTTTGGTACAAAATTATTAATTTTTACATTAACATAAATGAAAAAAATGTATCTTTAAACGTATAGAGAAAATTTTAGAAAGACCTTAATTTTAAATGAGTTCTTATTAACTGACCAATTTTACCTATTCTGCACGACATATGTATCAAACTGCGGCTAGCCGGGGGATCGAACCCGTGTTGTTTTAGCCCGCCTCGTGGGAAGAGTGAACTTCACGACGCTTTAATCCACTGGATCAATCACACAAAGAACATGAACCCAGCCAACTAGACTTGCTTCATGTTGCCGGAACATACCATGATGTAGTTACCTCAGAGATATAGTGAACCATCATCATCACTACTACACCTACTGTCTGTATCTGACTGAACAAGCCTGAAAGCGGCCATTGTGTGGGCGAAATGAGAGTTGGATCTGCCTATCATGGGCTAGAAGTGTTGGACAACGTTACAGAAAAAAAAGGTCAGGTTAGGGTTTGACCTTTTTCTGTGCCTTTTTATCTATGACCTTTTTCTCTCTGGATCCGGAATAGTAGGCCTCCTGCAGTGCTCCTCCCTACTTGTGCTCTTTAAACCACTGAAATCAACCTATATACCTCAGAGCCATATAATCCTATTTTTTAAAAGTGGAGTGGTAAGCCAGTGGAAGGCCTCGGTCAGATGACTAAAAGCTCCAGCTGTGGGTCATCATATAAGACCCGCGTCAGGAATCACTTGTCTTGTTTCCCGACGAACCTAACCCCACCAAACCAACCCAACCCTACCCTAACCCCACCAAACCAACCCAACCCTACCCTAACCCCACCAAACCAACCCAACCCTAACCTAACCTAACCCCACCAAACCAACCCAACCCTAACCTAACCCCACCAAACCAACCCAACCCTAACCTAACCCCACCAAACCAACCCAACCCTAACCTAACCCCACCAAACCAACCCAACCCTAACCTAACCCCACCAAACCAACCCAACCCTAACCTAACCCCACAAACCAACCCAACACAACCCCAACCTAACCCCACCAAACCAACCCAACCCTAACCCCACCAAACCAACCCAACCCTAACCTAACCCCACCAAACCAACCCAACCCTAACCTAACCCCACCAAACCAACCCAACACAACCCCAACCTAACCCCACCAAACCAACCCAACCTACCCTAACCCCACCAAACCAACCCAACCCTAACCTAACCCCACCAAACCAACCCAACCCTACCCT